GATGGTTTTTCCAGTTCTGTGAAGAGGGTCATAGGAAGTTTGATGGGGATAGTGTCGAGTCTATAAATTACTTTGGGAAATATGGCCATTTTCATACTTCCCATAGAGAAATGGCACAGATAAAAATTGTATTTTGCACAGAAAAATTTTATTTGAAAGGAGAGAAAGAAAACAAATCCCTTCCCCTGTATATCTCTTCCCCTGTATATCTGCAGCTTGACGAGCTTCAGTTGAAGGGTTGGCTTTAAGTCTGTTTTCATTTCCAGTGGGTACGCTTTGAGTTGGCACACAAATTCAATGTGTGAATGGTGTGGGAGTTAAGAAAGTTGCATTGCTATTTCTCTTTTTAAAATTAACAGTGGAATCCTTATGCGAGCCATGTAGGCTCGGGAATGTGCCACACGCTGTTCTCTAACTGCATAATGAGGGAGTTCTCCATAATAAAGTAGTCCTCATTCTTGCCAAAATTGGTGCCCCTCCTCCACAACCTCCTCTGAGACGCAGGAGACTGACAGCTGCTCTGCAGGCCTCTCCAACTCCTATAATTTCACTGTCAATGTAACCTCCACATCCTGGCTATGGGGCATCTCAGGTGAGGCTTACGATTGAGTCTGCTTGCTCTGAGGTCCCTGTCGTCTTTAGCTTCCTGGCTGTTCTGACACCGTGAATACCTTCCTGATCTACATTATGTGCACATACACTCCTTGACAAGGTCAGTTCCCAGTGGCTCTCGGCTACCCTTTATAGGGAAGACGTTTCTACAAAAATGTGGTCCTTCAACCAGCAGAAGTGGCACCATGGGAGTTTACTAGAAATGCAGATTCCAAGGCCTACCCCAGCCCTACTTTATCAGAAACTGTGGGGTTTTTTTTGTTTTTTGTTTTTTTTTTTTTGCATTTGTTTTTGTTTTTTTGAGACAGAATCTTGCTCTGTCACCAGGCTGGAGTGCAGTGGCACCATCTCAGCTCACTGCAACTTCCGCCTCCCGGATTCAAGTGATTCCCCTGCCTCAGCCTCCTGGGACTACAGGTGCCCGCCACTACGCCCAGCTAATTTTTTGTGTTTTTAGTAGAGACAGGGTTTCACCATGTTGGCCAGGATGGTCTCTATCTCTTGACCTCGTGATCCACCCGCCTTAGCCACTCGAAGTACTAGGATTACAGACATGAGCCGCCGCGCGTGGTCCCACCAGAACCTGCGGTTTAACAAGCTCCCCCAGATGATTTGTGTGCCCACTGCAGTCTGAGGGGTGCTGGGTATATACTTGGGAGCAGGTCAGAAGGTTGTCTAAGTTTCTCTCTTCAGTCTTTATCAGCCAATCAACTAGTCAAGGCCTGCTTTCCTTCATATGCTAAATGTGGAAATCAGAGTAGTAAAAAGGTACCAGCCCTGGGGGCTCCCAAGTAAAAACTTTTCTCATGGCAATTGCAAGATTAAGGACAGTAACGTGGCCCAGGAAGGTAGGGACATGGGGGACATCTGAGGATTCTGTGGCACCTGTGAATGCAGAGGCTGCCATGAAGTTTAGGCTCCTGCAGTGACTTATCAGGATTATCTTACATTGGCTGGTCGTTCTGACAGCAGAGAAAAATGTCTGATTTTGGTTTTGACAAAAAACCATGGCTGGGCAGGTGGGTGAGTGCACAGGCAGACCTTGTGTCCTGCTGTGGCTTCTGCACAGGTAACTTAAAACCTCTTCAAGAAAGTCGTCAACTAGAAATTTATAGTTATAAAATTATTATAAAACCATTCCTTAAGGATATACTGACCACATATTTAAAGTTTTCCTCTTAGGCTGGCCTGGGTGGCTCATGCCTGTAATCCCAGCACTTTGGGAGGCCGAGATGAATGGATTACCCAAGGCCAGGAATTGGAGATCAGCCTGGCCAACATGGTGAAAGCCCGACTCTGCTAAAAATACAAAAATTATCCCGGTGTGGTGGCAGGTGCCTGCAGTCCCAACTACTCCAGAGGCTGAGGCACGAGAATCATTTGAGTCCAGGGGGCGGAGGTTGCAGTGAGCCAAGACTGCATAACTGCACTCCAGTCTGGATGACGGAGCATGACTCTGCCTCAAAAGTAAAATAAAAGAAATAATAATAAATTTTAAAATGAGGTGTTCCTTTTAGGTTCTTAAAGTCCTATGTGGCTCTTCACTTTCCTGTGCTTCCATCATCCAACATGCCTTCAAGGTTATTAATTCTTTAGAAATGTGTTTCCATCATCTTCTTTCATTTCCTTTTCTGTGCCATCCCTAAAGTCCAAGCTATTATAACTTCTAATTATAACAGTTATTAGATGACTACTGTTTTACAAAATATTTCCCCAAACACAACTTTAAAATGTCTTTAGCTGCACAGAGTTTCCTAAAATGATGTTTATCAGGCTGCTTTCCTGTTTCATAACCACAGTGATGGTCCATCTAAATGACTCTCCTTTATCTTCAGTGCTTTGGCGATCTGGCCTCATGTCACTGGACATGAGGCATATATCTCATGTATATGCCAGACAAACATGGCATATACACCCAAAATATGGGTCAAGATTTCTTTCCCAACATCATCTCTTGACAAATAGAAAGTCACTTTATATATGTCTTTACAAAGTTGGGTGCCTTTTGAAAAAGCACTGGTAATGTGCATATTTTCTTTTTTGGGGGACAGAGTCTTGATCTGTCACCAGGCCAAAATGATCCCAGCTCACTGCAACCTCCCCCTCCCTGGTTCAAGTGATTCTCCTGCTCAGCCTCCTGAGTAGCTGAGATGACAGGCAAGCACCATCATAACCAGCTAATTTTTGGATTTTTAGTAGAGATGGGGTTTCACCATGTTGGCCAGGATGGTCTTGATCTCTTAACCTTGTGATCCACCAGTCTTGGCCTCCCAAAGTCCTAGGATTACAGGCATGAGCCACAGTGCTGGCCAATATGCATATTTTCTCAGCTACTTTATTTGGAAAAAAAAAAAAATCACTGCTTGGGGAATCACGTCTTAGATTGAAATCAGTGCTAGCTTGGGATGCTTATTGAGATTACATGTTATAACAAAAAAAAAAGGAGGAAAAGACATCAAATACAGTTTAGTAATTACTTCAGGAAGTGTGACCTCACTTCTAAGACTTTAAAAGTGATTATTTTTGAAAGATTACTTAAAAACTAAAGTAAGAAGGTACTTTGTGGAGATCATGAGTATGCAACTACAGGAGGAAGGAGATAAAAACTCATCTAATGGGATGGAACTGGTAAATTGTGACTTGGATAACAACATTATACATGAATTGAAGTAATGCCATATATCCAGTACCTTAGATGACCATAGAGATGAGGTACTCTGGAAAACTGTGGTAGATGACTAAAAATATGCCTATAAGTGATTATGGTGATGCATGAGAAGAGTTTCAAAGACTGATGTGTAAAATGTGAAAATGGAGAAAAGCAGTGTTTGTATGTTGCATGAGACACTACTGTAAACAAGCAGGTGCATTCAAGGAAAGCCTTGTGGCCTACACATTGACGCCACAGGGCCTGCCTCAGCAGGGTCAGTGCCTAGACCTCCCAGCCTGAGACCTCACTATTGATTGGGTCAGTCGACATCAGGTGACCAAGCAAGGTAAAGACAGAAAGCCCTGGCCACTTTGGCTTCACTGAGGGTAACTCTGGTAGGCAACATTTGCTCCAGAGCTCCCTGAAGGGTTGGTGGAGTCTTTGTCAGGCTTGTATCACAGTTTAATATCTTTCTCTGCTAAATCCTGCTTTTCTCTTTCTTTGACAGGTATTGATCTCTAAAAAACATTCACACTCCAAATTCCATCTCAGCATCTGTTTCTGGAGAATTCAGTCTCTGTCAGCATGGGTACTATGTTAATAAATATTACAAGAAGATGTTGATCAGTTCATCTACCTCCTTACAAGTTTACACATTCAGGTTGGCTACTGAAATTTTTCTTTAAACATTATCTCATTGGGAAAACTGGGTATCAGCTTATGAATAAGGTCAATTTTTATTGCATACTCTCAGTATTCCCATTGATACTGTATTGAGGCTGGTCCACTCACTGTCCCTCCTGCCCTATCCCCTATTCCCATATCACATTCAATTGCACTCATTCCTCCACCTAGGTTCTGGCTCATGCCATTTCCTCAAAGTAAATTTCTGTCCTTCTGTTCTCTTGCACATGTAGACACTACTCATTCTTCAGGGTCTTCAAGAATACTGCTTCCTCCGCAAAGACCTCTTTGACTTATGTAGACTTCTCTTTTATTCTTAACTTTAAAAAATAGATGTCATTTTGTTTTAAAAATGTAACTCAGTTAAGTGAAGCTATTTTCTAATCATTTCATGTGAATTACATCTCCCAGTACCTAATACAGCACAGAGAGCATAACGTAGTTACCTGTAAAAACACTAGTTAATTGAGTAAAATTGATCAATAACAATATTGAAAATATTAAGAAACATCCAAACAATTTAAAGTTTAAATTATACCCTGGGGGAGCAGTATGTTCCAAAGCCTGTTTCCTGGATTTTCCTTTTTCTTTAAAAAATGTTTTTATGGTCAAATTTATTTGGAAAATGTTGCCTGTCATATCTTCCTATTGGGGATGAGTGCACTGGGTAATTAAAGGATTTGAAAAGTCTCTCAGTAAATAAATTATTTGACTTTAACCAAACTACTTTAATCATAATGCATTTATTCCCTGTTTTGAATAGCATCTGTGAGCATCTCTGGGGAATCTGTGTTGTGCAGAACATCCTTTGGGAGCTGTGTCCTGGCAGATAGCAGAGACCTAGATGCCCATAGAAATAGGCTCCGTGTCAAATGGGCTGATGACTGGCACCTCCAAATCTAAGGGGGGACATGGCTTTAGCAGACTTGCGATGTCACCATTGCAGGCACAGGAAGCCAGCTGAAGGAACCGGAAGGTAGAGCTGTCAGTTCGTGCCAGTGACTCATGGGAAATAGTTGATTTAGGGTAGCTAGTCTCAACCATGGCTGCACATCGGAATCACCCAGGGAGCTTTAAAACATCCTGATGCCTGGGTCTCACCCATGGAGATGCTGATGTCATGGGTCTGGGGTGGGGCCTGGGCACTGGGATATTGTGAATTCCCCACAGGATTCCAGTTTCAGCAAAGCTGAGAGCCACTGCTTCAGGCAAGTGGGGATGCTTGTGTGTGAAATGATTCTTTTCTTCCAGATTCCAGGTTTCTTTTATTGATTGTATCTGCTGTACGGGAAATTACTCTGGGAAATCGATAAGTAAATAACCATCTGTGCTGCTCATCTTGGTGCTTAAACCTCCAACTGTAAGTAGGCTCCGAGAACCACCAGTGCTGGTTAGAAAGGCAGAGTTTCCTGCCCCACCCAGAACCGGGTCCTGATGCCTGGGTGATCTGTAGGAGCACTGCAGCCTAAGAGCATTGGGCTAGACTGGAGGTGCCTGGTGAAAAGCAGCTCCTCTCACTGGAAGCCTGTGAACCAGAGGGCCTGCTGCACACCTGCCTCTGACTTTATCTCAGTCCCATAGGCGCAGTCAGCCTGGCTCCTATGCCTCTGTCCTGCTTCCCCAGAGGATGGCTGCCTACCTCTCGAAGGAGCCTTCAGGGGCCCCCACGGTACCCTTTTCAAACACCAGTTAGTCAATATTTTAAGTTGGGGGACCCCAAATTGGTGGAAATCTATCTGGCTGTGTTCCCTTATGCATTAAGAAGCAGAAAAGAACAGAAATATAATTTTATTTCTATAGATGATAAACATTGTCAGAAATGGTTCTTTTCCTTCTTTGTTTTGTATTTAGTGAAGAGTGGGGGAATATCAGAAATGGAGGCCCCGAAAGATGAACTAAATCATCCAAATGCGTATGAGCCAGGTAGGGGTGAGTCTGCCACTTCAGAGGCCCATGGGAGCTGAGCTGGATGAATGCAGAGTGAAGAGTCAGAGACCCCACAGACGCCAGTGGTGAACTCCTGTGACTGTGTTGGTGCATCTAGCTCCACCGTCAAACAGGATCATAACTTGCTCCATCAATGACCGGTTCATAGTGCGCGTCTGTCTCATGCAAGGTGTGCTCATTACTTTAACACAACGTTTACCTTGTAAACGTTTCTCATAATGAAAAAGAAACAGACCAGTAACCTCGTATTTTTGTGATGAGTAGATTTTTTTGGTTCATCAGCCCGGCCCTTTCTCCATTATCAAGCTTATGGCAAGGCTGACATTCCAGGGCAAACACTTGCCTTCTTGGTACCCACGAGCAGTGGACTCCTCATTCTGCTTTGGTTTACTGCTTCCACATTAACTCATTAACTAGCTCCCTTATTCATTGCTCAACAGACAATTCTTATCTACTGTGTTGGGAACAGGGCTAGGCAGTGGGTCTTCCTGTTCTTACCTACCTAGAATCAGAGAAGAACACAGTGCATGGAGCCTAGGGATGGAGAAAAGCTCGATGTGGCAACTTCCAGATCCTATCATAGGAGATGGAGCCATACGTCTCTCCAGGATGCGTATTCTGGGAGGTTTATTCCCAAGTAGGAAGATAGTGTGGGTGATAGGCAACCCCATGCTTGGCAAATGTTCACTAACGAAGGTATCTATACTATGATGGGTCCATCTGCATTCTCCTATTCCATATCCCTTGCCTGTGAAGAGTCTGCAAGGTTAGGTGCTACTGCAGCTTACCGGGCCTTCTGCATAGGGAGGAAGACAAGTTGGACATCCAAACAAGGTGGCATACAACCGAGAACTCCGTTGGAGGCGGTTAGCAGAAACCCAATCCAAATTAGCTTAAGCAAATCAGAAATTTTAATTTAAGGATATGGGAGAGATTTGTCAATTACGGCTCAATAAGACAGGGAAAAAGGATGTGGGGGAGGAGCATGGCTCATGGAATCCAATGGAGTCAATGCTTGGAATTTGAGAATGACACAAATCCAAAAACATGAATGCTCTCAGGACTCTGCTTGTAATATTCGTATAATTGATAAAATTTGTGGAGCATTTATTATGTCCTAGGCATTTTTTCCACTTAGTTTCATTGTATTTTATCTATTTATTTTTACAACAACTCTGTAAAATCTGAACTAAAATTATTCAATTTTTCAGAGGTGGAAGCCTGGGGAAGTAAAGGCACGTGTCCAATGTCACACATCTATTGTAGTAAGAGAACAAGTGTGAATACAGAGCCTGTGCTACTGACACTCACCACATCAAAGTCTCCTCCTGCCTTGGTGCTGACCTCTGTCCTCTGTCCCTCAGCTCAACTCACCCCGAGTTTCACTCATCCATCCATCCATCAGTCTATGGGGACACCACACTTCTCTGTCTCGAGTCATGTCTCAAGGAAAGGACTATCAGTGGCCAGCTTGGGTTAAGTCCCAGGGGTTTCACCCAGAGAAGGCTCTGCCATACCAAGGAGAAGAGATGGGTGAGAGTGAGGGCTTCAGGCGCAAGGTGATGGTTTTCAGGAACTGAGTGCTTCTGGGCAGCCAAACAATTGTTAACACAAATTTCACCTTTGCCTCCGGCATGACTTTTCATTTTTGCTTTACTTCCCAGCAATTTAGAAACAAATTTAATTTTCTATCTTTTTTTAAATATACATTTAATTTTCAAAGGCACTGACTAATTCATTCCACATGTCTGAGAGTGTCTAGTTCTCTTCCCTATTTTACAGAGCTTTCCTCTTCTTTTACTATTTTTTTCAATCATTAAAAAAAATTCAATTCTCCTGTTTCATACTGTGCTTGATTTTTTGGTAAGCTGTCTTAGCTTACAAAAACATTTATGGAAATATGTGAGGGATAAATTATGGATTAAAAAAGAAAAAAGACTTCAGAGTTATGCTATCAACATGATCGCTACTAGCCATGTATGACCATTTAAACTTAAATTAATTAAAATTAAATAAAATAAAAAATTTGGTTCCTCAGTCACAAGCCATATTTTAAATGCTCAACAGCACAGTATAGTTCTATATTATAGACTATTTCCCTCGTTGCTGAAAGTTCTGCTGGGTGGTGCTGCTACACAGGGTTTCAACAATGGTGTGCTGTCTCTGAAATAATGAGCTCCCTAAAGGAAGTGGCCGGATGACCTGTGTTCACCCTCCAGATCCCAGGGGTTGTTGAGTCCCAGCTTTCATTCCCACCATTATGTTTCCTGTTGATTACTTCCTGACTCACTTCCCTATTCATTTTCTCAAAGCCAACATTTACATCATATAAACTTAAGTTATTCCTTTTCTATTGCAGAAAAAATATACAATGGTAATAGACATTTTTGGGGGGTTGAAGGGATATTTATTACTGATACTAAAAATGTAATGCACTTACTTAATTAGAGGTGGGACCGAAGGAATGTATGAACTGAAAATGCCGGCTAACAAAATGTGTTTACACATGGAAATGCAGTAAGAGTCCTGAAACAGGGTTCCCATGTTCTCCCTGGTGGGAAAGTTTCCATCTTTCCTCTTTTTGTAACTGTCCAGAAAAGACAGAATGTTTTTGATCAAAGTGGCTTTGAATCTTTAGCATTACTTTCTCCCATTATAACAGAATTTTTTCCCATGCAGTGCCAATCCACACATTTAGTTTCTGCAGCTCCTTAGTTTTATTGGGATGGGGGTGGGGACACCATCCTGTTTGAAAGGGTTTACAGCTGATACTACTGTTTACAGTAAATTCCTAGACTGGGAGGAGGCAAAGGCACATTTTGGGAGCAGCTAGGTGGCTGGAAGAGATTCTCTGCCCCCAAGACTGATCAGCGGTCCTGCAAAAGTGAGAGCTGCTCACTTCTCCTTGGCAGTGTGCTCCAGCAGGGAGATTGGTCCCTAGGTATAGCACCTTCCAGCACACGAATGTTCTCATGCCCCAAGGCTGTTATTGAAATAGCAGGGCTGTCAAACCTGAAGGAACCATTCATTGCCTGTGGGCTGCAGGGACCTGGAACCCTGACCCAAACCAGGATGGCGGAGGTGCTCAATAATAATTATGATTCAGCTGTCCAACAGCTCAGTAAAAGGGGGACTTGGAGTCACATGCAACTTGATTTAAAGGATTCCAAAAATATGTGATATTTATTGTGCACCTGAGTTTAAGAACTGATATTCTTGCTTACTGAAGTTGGACATACTAAGTTTGGACATAAAATTTGAGGGGCGGGTTAGGGCAGTGTCTTTGTGACTGGCACACACTGGACACAGATGGCATTCTGAAAGCCACCATCCAGGACTGAAGAGTTGCTTTCCACACTCTGGAATTGTGACAAGAGGTTCACTTTAGAGAGTCTTTTGTGGATGAGCCTCATCAATGGACAGTCCTAGTGTGTGTGAGTGTGAGCTAAGCTTTGTTCTCTCAAGTCTAAAGACAATATTTGATTTAGCAATTGATTCAATTACATTACATGTGGATTTGGCTGAGTGGGGTGTGTGTGTGTGTGTGTGTGTGTTTCTTTTAAACAATGATGATAACCTTTCTGAATTCAGGTGGAAGCTGTCTTGACTGACCGCCAGGTACCTGGTGATTAACTCTTCGTTTCTTTTGTGAAACATGCAAACATGCCCTGAGCTCACTGAGCACTCACAGCTGGTAGGACAGGAGGCTCCTCTTTAGTAGGCCCACAGTGTGTTGTTTGCCTCTTTCCTAACCTGTTCATTCCACTTAATTGTATCATGATAACTACACAATTTGAGCAAATATTACTAAAACCATTGAGACACAGGCACACAAAGAAAGGGAAAGTGTTTCTAATGAAAAGAAGCAAAATGCTTGGGAAAGATTCAACGAGGAAAAGTTGCTTTAAATGTGTTGTTGGATTATATTTGATGGTTATTAGTACAGAATCTAAGATTCTTTAGTCAAGATGCTTTACACTGTCTTTAAATTCTCATTTCACAAAGGAAACTCAAATGAGACAACATGGAGGATGCATTGTCTGTGTGGTTCACCAAGAGAGGGAACAATACAGCACTCTAATCAGCACATCTATATTCAAAGAAAGGCACTGGCTGAATAATAGCACTGGTGAGTAAATAGACATCTCAGTTCTCTGCTACAATAAAATGTTTGCATAGGCAAGAGTCCCTTTGACTGCCCGTTGAGCGCCCTCTGCTGGCCGGGAGGGAAGAGTGCCACGGCGGGGACGGCGTGGAGGCCCCACCCACGGTTTAGTTTCAGATCAGCGCTTTTCAGTTCCAAGATGCAGATTTCCGGTTCCAATGAACGCCGGCTGAAAATAGGGCCGTGGTTAAATCAATATCGTGAAACTATTTTATGCCAGTAGTACTTTCATCTATTTTTATAAGAATGTTTTGTAGTTGAGAAACCTAAAGAGATGATGAATTTCCCCCACCGCCCCAGACTATTTTGCCTTTCAGTGACTTGGTTATATTTTACGATAGGTGCCGATTCAAAGGCAGTGGTTTCAAAAAGTACAGCTGCTATTCTTTGGTGCCGCTATTCAGAATGACGATGTGAAATGAAAATGATTCTGACTATGGGAAGGTCTGATTTTCCTATGAATGAAAACAATCATGTGTGTAACAGAGAGCTCTCTCCAGCCATCGAGGGACTTTTTGCAGACAGAGAAAAGGATGCTAAAGGCATGTTCCCAATACTGCAGACTTGCCGAGATGGCGGCGGGCTCCTCCCGCCTCTGCAGCAGCGTCACAATCAATAATGCAGGGCTCTGCGGCAGAGGAAGCGCCTGCTTTTATGTAGGGGCTCCGGGACCCCAGAGCAGGTCTGGTCTATTAGCCCATCGCGCCATCTAGCGTCCGCAGGGGCTCATAGCAGGTTGAGACTGCAATCTAGATTTTGCAGAAGGGTAACTTTTAGCCTTCTGCAAAATCTAGATCTCACTTAATGTAGATCTCACTTAAGAAGGCAAAAAAAAAAAAAGTGAGCGCAGTGTTTATTCATTTTCTTGTCAGATTAGTAATTTTAAGGCAGGAAACTCTAAATATTTACCAAGCCCCTGCTGTAGGTCAGTCGTGTTGTGGGTAACAAGGCTATGATGATGTTTGAGTCTCTATTTTCAGTGACCCAGTCTAGTAGGGACAAGCCATATAAACATGTGCCCAGTTAAATCTGAATTTCAGGTTAACAAGAAATTTGTTTTTAGTGTAAGTGTCTCCCATATGTGCTAAAGCAGTTAACTGGCATATATTATTATCATTATTTTTATAAGCAAAATCCTGCAACCCTGCATCTAAACAGATAATTGCAGTACAGGTTTTACAAGGGCAGGGTGACAGACTAATGCTTGAGGAGCTTTGCTGTAGGAGCTGGTTAGGAAGGCTTCTCAGGGGAGAAGTCACTTGCGCAAACTGTTCATCAGGTAAAGCAGTGGGCAGGATTGTCCTGGTAGAATCACATAAGCAAAAGCAAGCAGCTGGGGGACTCACAGCACAACAGGTCTGTGCTGCCTGAGCTGGCAGGTGAGGCAAGGAGAGCACAGGGGTGAGGTTGTTTTGTTGTGGAAGGCCTTCTACCCTGTTTTCCAGGAACTACCTTTTATTCCAGAGGGAGTGAAAAGGGGTTTTGAATGGGAGAGTGACATGATTAAATTTGTGTTTAACGAAAAGAGATCAAATAGCAATGTTGAGGCTGGACTAGGGAAGGTAGGAAGCTGGGAGGCAGGGAGGCCTGATGGAAATTATCTGAGATGAGTGAGCTCAGAAACGTAGCAGAGCTTGAATGTGAATGAGGGTCTTCTGACTCCAAGTCCAGGATGCCTGTCACTGTTCCCATCTAATTGAATTATGATTCACATGTGCAACCATTTTACAAATCAGGAATGACACACCGCATTATGCATACTTTTCCTTCTCTGAAAGATTAGCTTCACTCACATTTGGAAATACTAAAAATTTTTTCTTCTCTCCCTTCTCCTTCGCTTGTGGTTGGCTCAGTGTCTGCCTCTGATTAACTCAGCCCTGTTTCCCCACACAGAGCTCCCCCTGCAAACCAGACTAACAAGGCCAAGTGACAAAATGAATTATATCCCTCTGAGATATTTGGCCTTGTTTTCCGTGGGCGAAAGCCTGATGCCTTAAAATGCCCTTAGAAGGAGGACACCTGCTTATTTTCAAGGAGGCTCTGACCCAAGCCCCACGCAGATGGCTGGGCAGAGCAATTTGTGGTGGTCAAGGGTTGCTCATTTTTGGACCTGGTTTATTAAAAGTTAGATAGGAGACCAAGCAGAGCCTTGTGACTCTTTGCCCCTCCATCCATGGTGGGGGGCATTGGCAGCACCTTAGTACACACAGAACAGCCCCTCAGAGAATGCACAGGTGTTGATTAACAAGGCTTCTATACACATTAGTGGAGGAAGAAGAGAAAACAAACTTACTCTCTCATGCACTTATGACTAGAGTCATGTTGGGATCTTGAGACTAGGGCTTTGTAAAAAAATGGGATGCTTTTAACAGAAAGGCATATAGAGAAAAGGTGAGATGTGCAATACAGTCACGTCACCTAATGATGTTTTAGTAAGTGACTGACCACATATTCAAAAGTGATCTCATAAGGTTATAATGTAGCCGAAAAATTCCAATCATTTAGTGATGTCATAGCCACTCCAACATCACAGTGCAATGCATTAGATGTTTGTGGTGATGCTGGTGTAAACAAAGCGACTGCGCTGCCAGTCGTATAAAGGTAGAGAACATAGGGCCGGGTGTGGTGGCTCACGCCTGTAATCCCAGCACTTTGGGAGGCCTAGGTGGGCAAATTACGAGGTCAGGAGTTCGAGACCAGCCTGGCCAACATAGTGAAACCCCGTCTGTATAAATATACAAACAATATTAGCTCAGCATGGTGGCAGGCACCTGTAGTCCCAGCTACTTGGGAGGCTGGGGCAAGGAGAATTGCTTGAACCTGGGAGGAGGAGGTTGCAGCGAGCCAAAATTGCACCACTGCACTCCAGCCCAGGCGACAATCTGAAAAAAAAAAAGAAGTATAGCACATACAATTATGTACAGTATATATTTGATAATAAATGACTGCATTACTGATTTACATATTTACTCTACTATATTTTTATCATTATTTTAGAGCGTAATCCTTCTACTTATTAAAAAAGTTAGCTATAACACAGCCCCAGGCAGGTCCTTCCGGAGGTATTTTAGAAGAAGGCATTGTTATCATAGGAGCTGACAGCTCCATGCATGTTTTTGCCCCTGAAGGCCTTCCAGTGGGACAGGATGTGGAGGTGAAAAGAAAGTGATATTGATGATCCTCACCCTTTGCAGGCCTAGGCTAATGTGGGTGTTTGTGTCTTAGTTTTTAATTTAAAAAATTTTAAAAGGAAAAAGCATACAGAATAAAGATATAATTTATTTATAATCAATATTATTTATTTATTTATAAAGCAGTACAATGTGTTTTAAGCTGTGTTATAAAAGTATCAAAAAGTTGGCCAGGTGCAGTGGCTCATGCCTGTAATCTCAACACTTTGGGAGGCCAAGGTGGGTGGATCATTTGAGGTTTGAGACCAGCCTGGCCAACATGATGGAACCCTACCTCTACTAAAAATACAAAAATTAGCCAGATGTGGTGGTATGCACCTGTAATCCCAGCTACTTGGGGGCCTGAGGCAGGAGAATTGCCTGAACTCGGGAGGTGGAGGTTGCAGTGATCTAAGATCGCACCACTGCACTCTAGCCCAAGCGACAGAATGAGACCATCTCAAAAAAAATCAAAAAGTTTTAAAAAAGTTAAAAAGTCCATAAAGTAAAAAAGTCACAGTAAGCTAAGGTTAATTTATTATCGAATAAAAAATAGGCTACACCAAATCTGTTTGTTCATAGGACTACAGCAGAGCACAGGAAAGGCCTAGGCCTTCCCATTCACTCACCACTCAGTCACTCACCCAGAGCAACTTCCTGCCTGCAAGCTCCATTCATGGCAAATGTCTTACACAGGCGGACCATTTAAAATCTTTGATATGATCTTTTTACTGTACCTCTTATATGTTTAGATACACAAATACGTACCATTGTGCTATAATTGCCGACAATATTTAGTCCTGTAACGGGCTGTACAGGTTTGTAGCCTAGAGCAACAAGCTCTGCCATACAGCCTGGGTATGTAGCAGGCTACACCATGTAGGTCTGTGTCAGTTAACTTTAAGATGTTTGCACCATGACAAAATTACCTAACAACACACATCTTAGAACATGTCCCTGTCTTTAAGCAACATGTGACTGTAATTGGTAATAGTTTGCAAATGGCAGAAAAGGATGCAATGGATAAATGTATGCAAAATTACAGACATGCTTAGCTTTGGTAGTATACAGTATGTAGCATAAGGTGACTTAAAGGGATTGCCTTTTAAATCACCAGGTTTCTTTTGAGCACCTACATGCAAACGTCCTTCAGCCTTGTTGGGCCTGCAGTAGCACCCGGCAGGCAGAGTTGCTACATGGTTAGAGACCCAGTTGCAGGCCCAGCCAGGAGTGGACACAGAGCTGTGGGAGATGGTCCAGATGCTGCAGCTTTGGTTTTGGTTCTGAATTCTGTGAATTTTCAGGGGAGAGTCCATACTCCAGGAGAATGGCAGTTTTGTGAAGCTTAGGGTATTTGTAGCAAGTATGAGTATGACTTCACAACTTCATTTCCTTTAATTCAAATTAAAGCAGACTCTGAGCCCTCCTCCCCTGCCTCCATCCTGCGGTGGATTTGTTCTGAGGTGTCGTTGGTGCATTTCTCTGCACCCCAATACCATGGCCACCATCATGACCACCCACCCACACCACTGCCACCACAAGCGGGGGTTGGACAAGAATCCAGCAGGCCTACAAGGTGCCTAGAAAAGAGGCCAGGCCTCTGATCATCAGTTCCTAAGTTTTCCTCCGATAACTGTGTGGTCCAAGTCTGCATAGACACTTGAGGCTTTGCATCCTCACAAAGTTCTTCGAGGAACTTGCCAGTGCACGGCACTCTGGTACTGGGTCAGTCTCCTGGAAGCACCGTTAATCATCAAGTCCCTCTGAGCTCTAGCTGCTTTCCTGGGCTGCTGCACGGGGAGGCCTGAATGCCCAGTCCTTACCCAGCTCTCAGCTGCACTCCTCTTCCTCCCTCTCCTCTCCCAGCATCACCTCTCACCAGTGAGAACGAGGCAGGATCTCAAAAGGCAAGATAAAGCATTCCCGCAGCTTCCACCCTGTGCTTAGAGGATGGATAGGAGGGAACCCTAAGGGGCCTCGCTAACTTCTTGAAATTCAGGAGGTGAGCAGGTGGATGAGAAATACTGAGAACTCAATGCAAATTGATTTTTCAATAAGTCATCCTGCTACTGATCATGGTGTCATTTATCAGCCATGCAGAGAGCAGCAGAGCCTGGCAACGAAGTTCTTGGAATCTTGATTCTACCTCTTGTTAACCATGTGACCTTGCTCCAGTTTCCTAATAAGTAAACCAAAGATGGTGATAATAGCACACAGGCACAGCGTTGTTGAAGGATCAAATGAGTTAATACGTATGCCACACTCAGTACAATATTGAGACACAGTGACACCCACTCAATGTTAGCTCTTATTATTACACCCCCTTTTTTTTTGTTTTGGAGACAGGGTTTCTCTCTGTTTCCCAGGCTGGAGTGTAGGGGTGTGATCATAGCTCACTGCAGCCTCAACCTCCTGGGCTCAAGCAATCTTCCCGTCTCAGCTTCCCAAGTAGCTAGGACTACAGGCACACACCACCACACCTGGCTAATTTTTGGATTTCTCTTTTGTAAAGATGGAGTCTCACTGTGTTGCCCAGGCTGTGAGTTTCACAGGAGCAAATACTGACCCCCCTCATAGCACACATTCAATACATTACTTATACAAATGATATTTGTCTCTTTTCTCAAGGCTGTCAATATTCCTTCTCCACAACCAGTCAGATAGGAAGATAAGGAAAGTGGGGATGAGGAAAGGAAGACTCACTCATACTGTGCCGAGACCACAGGCATGAGCTCTGAACGCTACCTGCCTGGATGGCCGGTACTCCCAGGAGAAGGGACTATTCTAGCTGTGATAATGTTCCTAATGGAATGGTTTTAGAATCTTATGGGAGGAGAAGTGGGATGTGCTCTGTGTGGGGAGCTTATCACCATTAGGGTGTGCATCTTGCTGGGGAAAGATGCCTGGCTGTGAGTCACCTCCTGAGTCTTCACCTGGCTTCATCTCTCGACTCCATATATCACTTTCTCAGATGTCTTCTCTGCCCCAATCTAAATTAGCTCCCACCTGTCGTTCTCTCTCATAGTTTCTTCTTTTCTACTATTTAGTCTTTGTTCAACTCTCAATGACAGATATTTTGTGCATTTATTTGTTCAGCGTCTTCTCTACCAGCAGATTATTTAGCTGTAGAGGGCAGAGGTTAAGTGTGTTTTATTGACCAAGTATAATCGCTTAGCTTTCGCTTTTTAATCTGTTAAATGAGGATGGTAATACTGCTTTTGCCCACCTCACTGAGCTGTAAAATTAAAAAATATAATACATGGGAAACTTCTTTGTAAATCATAAAACATGGTACACATTGAGTTATGCTTAGCGCCATGTCTATTTGCACATACATCACAAACTGAGTACTTGTGAAATGAACTCCTAGACAGATGAGCCTCTGTTAAATGAGATAATGGGAACACGTGCTCAGAGCAGGACACACACTGTGATAGCTTTTATTGCGTAAGGTTCAAAATAGCAGCCCCAACCTCTAAAAATACCATATTCACTGAGTCTACCCATAGTAGGCTGGAAAGAGGTAAATGGGAGTCCCACAGCTAACAATGTCTGAACACATGCGAGAGTGAGTAACCCAGAGACAGTGTGTTCTGGAACTGGGGGACGTTTTGCAGGTTACTTCTCAAGCAAGATGTTCCTTTCCTACCAAGAGGCAAGGATGGTTGACATCTGTCTTTTCTTGCTCCACAGCAGTGAGATGGCAGAGGAACAGAAGATGATTCTGGAAAAATGCCTGCTGCTGCCAGAATTTCACAGAGAGCAAATGGGAGGAGGGTGAAACTCCTTAAATTCAAACATTTCACAGATATGTACATTACTATATGTGGAACTGAGAGAGTTGGAGCTGGAGTGATACAGCTGATGAATACCCCAGTGCTAGGCTGCAACTCCTCTGCTTTTGATAGACAAACCAGAAACATGAAATTATCCATCCTGATGGCCTGTGTGGTATGGGAATCACTGAGGCTGGGAACCCACAGATCAGTGGTGTGAACCAAGAAGATAAAACATCAGATTGGACCAAAACAGACACATTTTCTTCACTACTCCATTCTCTGGTTTTGTCCTATATCTTAGGGAAGCAGGATAAGACACTGACACCCTAACTACGCTGGGTATTCCTTGTCGTTCAATGTGCATATACTTATAGTTTAACTGACTCCTTAGTAAGCTATGTGTGGCCTGCAGGTTTTAGGGTGTCCGTGGTTCTCCACAGATTCTCTGTGGCAGAGGACAGCCTGCTTTTTCCCAGGCCCTCAGCTCAGGCCTGAGCGAGGCTTGACATTGTCTTTATACAGTAGTGACCGTCTTGAGCAGAAACGAAGGTGAGTGATGGGTATAGGATAGGTAAGGCAGCAGGAAAAGGCGGGATAGGTACCAAGTCAAAGGAACTAGAAACAGGCCTTGGGATGGGGCAGGCAGTGGGTTGGACACTGGATCTGAGAGGGACAAAGTGCCAGTGCAGTGGCAAGTGAAGGTGAGAACCCAGACCTGGGCTGGGAACATGGAGAAGAGAAGGCCACACGTGATGGCACAGGAGATGGGCTGGTGGCCACACGTGTCAGGGAGGTGAGTATGAAGATGAGAAGCACTACAAACCTGTCAACATTTTATGTTTAATCTTCATTCATTAAAGGAATGATTGCTACCTGTGTAACTGTTTGATTTTAGGCCTGGAAAAATGGAGTTTAACTTCATTGTCATCTGTCACGGAACTGTGGCCACAGAAAAAGGCATCTCTCAGGCTGGGTACTGTAGGAGTCCGCCCCCTGCTCCATCTGTAGTTTTTCCACCCACAGTCCACCTGGTGTGAGAAAGGTGTAGGGATAAAGGTGAGCCCAGGGCACCGTGGGCACCTCCGAGAGAATCTGAGTGGGTGGAGTCAGGGTCCTTCGAGAGCCTGTCATTAACATGGACGGGGAAAGCCAGAGCTATGCTGTGATGGGTGCTGTGGGGCGCCCAGGCCTGCACTCTGTCCGTGAGGGTGAAGGGGGAGAAGGAAGCAGCCCAGAGAAGACCCGGAGCAGGGCAAACACAGATGGAGAAGCTGAGGGCAAGGAAGGGAATGACATGGGACCCCCACCTGTTGTCCGGGCAGGCTCTGCTCTCCAGGAGCAGGTGGCACAGTCAGTCAGAACAGTCACTACCTGCCCTGCCCTCGTGAGTCCCGGGAGGAAAGTGCTCGCCCACTTCTGACCTGTGTCACACTCACTATGAAGGCAGGTATTAGAAGAATCCCATGAAAGTAAACAGGGTGTTCAAACGGATCCTTAAAAATGAAAGTGCAGGCTGCAAGTGGGTAGTGTGGGAGGTGCATGGGGTTTGCAGAGGAGACAGGGGAGCTTTGTGCACCCGGAGCAATGAATAAGCAGCGACTTCTCTACCCCTCACCGTGGCTCCACGGTCCCAGCGACATGCGGGGGCTCCTCTTCTCCACTCTTCTCCTTGCCAGCCTGGCACAGGTAAGTCCTTTCTCCCGACTCTTTCCCCTCCGGAGACTACAGTCATTCTTAGTGTTTCAGGCCAAAAGCTAAACAAAATGAAGATGGGGAAAGAGGGAGGATAAATGGCCTGTGGAAATACTTCATAAGAAATAGGAAGCCATTTTCCTCTCCAAAGAGTTCTGTGTTAGTTCTTGACTTCATGCAAGAAACGTAAAACGTTTCTCCCTTTCAGGTAATGGCACCAAAGTCCCCTTTCACTATGTTTGAACAGCCCCACACTTTCCTATAGATTTTTGTAGCAGAGCCTAAGGCACAGCCTGGCACGGTATGGGAAACTCTCTCTCCATGCCAGTTCCAGGCGGAGGCTCAACTTTCCATAGCCGTTTGCAAACTGTGCAAAGAGCCCCTGGAAAAACGAATATTGACAGCGACTTTTTCCAGTGAAGCCTGTCCTTGTTTGAAAGGAGCACTTTGGAACAAACATTTACATTTTGAAAGCGTTCTCTTACTTTGTCTTTTCTCAATCCATGTGTTTCTCACTTCCTGAAAGAGAATCAGTCTGTGGAAGCTTGGAAATATTTCCAGCAACGGGCCAAAAGGAAGTTTAATTTATGATGAGCAATTCACTGCCTTAGTCTTTTTAAATAAGATGGAAACAAGGTGACTTAATTGTTGATTTATTTACACGGTGGAGGTTATCCTTGGCACAGGGGATGGAGCTTTTGAAATCTGGTGATTTAGAAAACATGGGTGTGTCTGTGAGTTAGTAGTTGATTGGGGCTGTAAGTAGTAGATATATCTTAGGAAACAAGGGATTGGAAATTGTTATACCATATATGGAGAGATTTACAATTTCAAAAGAGTCACAATAAGAACGTCAGTGGTCCGGGTCATTGCTGCTGTCACATGGAGGGGTGCACCCCTTGGCAGTGTGTTTCCTCTGCCACTGTTCTTGAGAAGAACTATCATTGTGGATTGAGAGAGGCTACATGTTCTTAAACAGCAAGTATTCCAACATACAGAGATGTGTACAAAATAAACAAACACAGAAAGGTGTTACACACAGAGAGGGAAGAATGTATTATTTTGTGCTTAACTTTGCTTTCATGAATTCATAAATTCATAAAATATCTTATAATACCTAGCATTTACTGAATATCTGCTATATGCCAAAAACTGTGCTGGGGGCTTTATTTATTTAGAGACAGAGTCTCACTCTGACGCTCAGGCTGGAGTACAGTGGTGCAATCTTGGCTCACTGCAACCTCCACCTCCTGGGTTCAAGCGATTCTCCTGCCTCAGCCTCCTGAGTAGCTGGAATTACAGGCCTGTGCCACTGTGCCCAGCTAATTTTTGTGTTTTTAGTAGAAATGAGTTTTTGCCATGTTGGCCAGGCTGGTCTCGATCTCTTGGCCTCAAGTGATCTGCCCACCTTGGCCTCCCAAAGTGCTGGGATTACAGGTGTGAGCCACCATGCCTGGCCCAAGAGTGCTTTTGGTATTATCTTAATCATCAAAACAACTTTACAAGGTGGTCATTATTAATCCCATATTACAGAGGAGATTAAATGATAGGAAATTCTCTAAGATCACAGAGCTATTGCAAGGCTTGGATCTCTTAAAATGCTTATCCTTTCTATTGCACCATTCTAGTGACTCTTGTTGTCTTGAGATTTTGCTGTTGAAAACAATCAAAATATGTCTGAGGAAAAGAGAAAATTATAAAATTCTTTAAATTTACCCACATATTCACTACGTCCAGGCCCCTTCATTTTTTCCTGTGTTTCTGAGTTACTATCATAACAGTATCTTCAGACTCAAGATCCTGCTTTAGTATTTCTTGTGAGGCAGATCTGCTAGCAACAATTTCGCTCAGGTTTTGTTTATCCAGAAATGTTTTTGATTTCACCTTCATCTTTGAAAGATAGTTTCACTGGCTATACAATTCTGGGTTGACATGATTTCCTACCCACCCCCCACTTTAACACTGTCTCTGGGCACCTTGTTCTTCTCCATTTCTCCTTCCTCCTCTTTCTTTTGATGAGAAGTCAGATCTCAGTTGTATTGTACTTCTGTATGTAATGCTTCCCCCTTTCCTCAGTCTACTGTTACGATTTTCTGTTTTTTTTTTTTGAGATGGAGACGGCCTCTGTTGCCCAGGCTGGAGTGCAATGGTACCATCTTGGCTCACTGCAACCTCTGCCTCCCAGGTTCAAGTGATTCTCCTGCCGCAGCCTCCCTAGTAGCTGGGGCTACAGGTGCATGCCACCACGCCTGGCTAATTTTTTGTATTTTTAGTAGAGATGAGTTTTACCATGTTGGCCAGGCTGGTCTTGAACTCCTCACCTCAAATGATCCACCTGCCTCAGCCTTTCAAAGTGTTGGGATTACTGGCTACTTCAGCTTCATTTTTAAAAGATAGTTTCACTGGCTATATAATTCTGGGTTGACAGATTTTTTTTTCTCCTTTCAGCATTGTCTCTGGGCATCTTCTTCTCCATCTCTTCCTTCTCCATCTTTTGATGAGAAATCAGACCTCATTTTTAATCTAATTCTGTATGTAATGCTTTTTCTCAGTCTACTGTTGTGATTTTTTCTTTATCCTTGGATTTCAACAGTGTTACCTTTTTACTTCAGAGATGATCTGGAAATGCTTCAAAACTGGAAAGATAAAAAGGCATTTCACGGGGGCAGTTTTGGGAATGTGCATTTCATTAGAAAGAACACAAGGAAAAGCAGGAAGAGAAAACCAACTCAGGGAGTCCAGCAAATGGAAAGGGATGGAAGGAGAATGTGTGAGAGCTAATGCTCAAGAGGTAGGCAGGAACCAGAGCAGAGAAGCCTTTGGATACTTTGCTCAGAAGTTTAGGTTGCTCACTATAGACTGTGGGGAACCACTGATGGGCTTTAAGGAGAGGAGTAATATAATGAGACACATTCTTTAAAGAGATTCCTGCAGCGGCAATGTACTAGATGCACTTGAAACATCATTCTGGAGGGAGGAAGATCAGTCAGGAACTTGTAGTGACGGTGCTTACTTAGTAGCCATGAAATGGGGAAGAGCATCCAGTTCTGGGAATACAAGGACAATAGAATAAGTAGGATAGGTCACTGAATGGGCATAGGAGGTTAGGGAGAGGAAGATGGCCTAGAGGAGGCCTATCTTCCTGACTCCAAATGTTGAAGAGTGAAAAATGATGACTTTTGGACTTGAGTATTTCCTGAAGGACATTTGGGTGGAGATGTCCAGTAGGTAGTTAGCTCATGGATCTAGGACTCAGTAGAGACATTCAGGCTGGAAATTTAGTTTTGAAACTTGCATAGGATGAAAACTGAAGGCAAAGGGGTGGGTGAGATATCCAAGAGACAGTGTAGAGTGAGGTGAGCAAAAAGTTAAAGCTATGAAACACCAATAGGCCTAAATCTAAGTCAAATTCAGGGTAACAGAAGCCTATGGAGGAGACTGAGAAAGTATGTTGATAAATAAGGGGAGGATTGGGGGGACCAGATGTAATGAAATCCAAGGTAGAGGAGAGTCAAATGCCTTAGAGAAGGAGGGCAAGAGGAGGACTGGAGAGATTTCACGAATGTGAGACCGCAAAAAGGCCACTGAACCTGGCATCCTGAATCACTGGTGGCTATAGCTGAACCTGTGTAAAACTGAGAAGTAGGCAAAATTTTTTTTTTAAGTTTAAATTTTTTTAGGATTCTAGCTTCACTATTCCTACTCCCTTCTCCACTTTGGTGTTTCCTTTTCCACTGCTCCTTCTCCAGAAGCCCAGCACTGTCCCATCCCCCACATCAAAACCCATTCTCATGTTGTGCATGCAACTTTTGAATCACAGCTGAAATGTTACTCTTTACTGGAGCATATGTGTTTTACCAGTGGTGAGGAAAAAAAGACTGAGGGTTTAATATTTGGTGGAATTTCATACAGATACTTCTAAATGCTGAGTTTTTGAGCTGTGAAGGGACTCAGATCTAAGAATCAATTCAACAGCCCCCGGTTCCATCAAATAAACATTGAGAGTTATTTCCATAAGCCGGTTGCCACACAGTGTGCTGGGTGCTGGTGGTATACTTTCAAATGAACCACAAGCACCTGAGGTTGGGGAGTTTTATGGCTAGTGGAAGAGATAGGCACTTACATGGGTAATTTCCCTTCAAAGACGTTTGCAAGGCAGGGAAGTTATGGGAAGCTTTCTGGAAAAGATGATGCCAAAACAGAACCTAGAAGGATAACTAGATGGAGGAGGAGCAGGGTCTGGGCAGAATGTCTCAGGCAGGAGGAACAGCATCATATATGCAGGGAACTGCAGGCACTTTAGCTTTCTGGAACCTAAGGTTTATAAGAACTTCAAGAAAGAGGAGGGCTCTGAATGCTGTGCTTAAGTGTTTTTACCCTCCCTGCAGGCCAGACATGTTTAGGTGTGAAGGATGAGGGAGAGGAAGAAATCCAGATGGTTTTCAGTTTCCTGACTTGGGCACCTGAGTGGATGGTGACACCATTCACTAAAATGGGAACTGCTAGTTGAGGAGCAGTTTGTCAGAGGGAGGGTAATTGTAGAACCTCAAAGTGCATATGCCCAGAAGCAACTATTAAGTTGTAAGCTTAAGGGATGAGGTCTAGGCTGCAGAAATAGATGCAGAGATTCAGTGATTTGTTCAGTATCTACTGAGACCAGCTCAGCTGTAGAGACCCCTACTGGGAAGCAGACACCCAGATAGAACAGCAAAGTGGGACTATCTGGGACCAACAGCCTTCTGAACTGAGAGCCTCAAGGGGCTGACAGCATTCTGGACTGAGGGCCTTGAGCAGACACTGACCCATGTATTTATTCTCTCTGAACAGGTGATTATTACTAACGAACAGGTGTTCTCTCATAGAACCAAGATAAACTAGGTAGGCAGCTGGTACCTGCTTACCACCAATCAAGGAAAAACTAGAAAGTATTCTCCACGAGAAAGCCATGGGGGCAGGGTCACATATCCCATGCTTAAAGAATTGTTTTCACCAGTGTATGATATACATACTGTTTTGCTACTTTAGAATGCCCCAAGTAGTTTTCCACTTGGGGTGAGGGTGGCTAGATTTTCCTTGCCACTGTTCTTAGCAAACCATATATCTTATCATACAGTCAGCATTTCTCAACAAGTATCAGAGCTGGTTTACAGTAGGATTTGGACTAGGAAAGGAAGGAGGGTGTGTTGAGTGCTTAGGCTCTGGAACCTGCCTGCCTGATTTAAATCACTCTTCTATCACTTACTTAATCTGTGACACAGGACAACTTAAATAATTTAAGTCTCAGGGTCCTTATTGATAAAATGGGGTATACAGTTTCCTATTGCTGCTCTAAGAAATTACCAAATTGAATGGCTTAAAACAGTATGATTATTTACAGTTCTGGACATCAGATGTCCAAAAATGGGTCTTATAGGGCTAAAATCAATTGTTAGCAGGACTGCCTCCCTTCTGGAGGCGACAGGGGAGAATCCATTCTTTGCCTGTTCCAGCTTTTCAAGGCTATCTGGCTTCCTTCCTGACAACTTTCAGCAATGGCATTGCTCCTACCTCTGTTTCTGCTGTCACACCTCTGACATGCCTCCCTCCTTCCCAGGTGGACCCAAATGAACTTGTGATTACCTTGAGCCCACCTGGCTAATCGAGTGATAACCTCAAGATCCTTAAGTTGATCACATCTGGAAAATTCCCTTCATTGTTTTAGGTAACATATATGCACAGGCTCCCTGGATGAGGACATGGACACCTTTGAGGGGACCATTATCTGCTGATCACACAGTATAACTACTGCGCACTGCTGCTGTGAAGGTTGAGTGAAATAACCATGTCAAGTGATTTATAAAGATTGCAGTGACCTTGCTTTGAAGAAGCTCACATTCTTGGTGCAGGTATCAGAAAGTAAACAACTGAAATGTGTAGGTAATAAGAAAGGTGGTAAAGTCTATGGTGAAAGGACTAGGATAAGAGTGGCTGACGAGGGCCTCACTGAGAAATGTGAGCATAGACCTAAGGCAAATAAGAGTGAACCATGAAGATATCTAGGGGCAGAGTTACTTGGAGTATTCAGAGAACAAGGAGGCTGCTGTAGCTGATGTGGAGGGAGCAAGGGAGTGAGTGGTAGTGGGTAAAGTAATATGGGGAGGGGAACCATGTGATGCAGGGCCATGGCGGTAGTTTGAATTTTACATTGAAATGGGAGGCCAAGAGGAAGCTACTCCGTATAAGCAAAGAGTGATATGAACTGAACTGGCTTATTTTAAAAGAATCATTCTAGATGTCAGGTGGGCAAAGGAGCAAGCAAGGTGAACATTTAGGAGGCTATTGTAATCATCCAAGTGAACCATGGTGATGCGAATCGTGATGGTAACAGAGAAGGTATCAATAAATAATCAGGGTTGGTATTTTTAAAGGTGTAATAAACAGGATTTACTGATGGAACTAGATGTAAAATGTGGAAGAGAAGAGTCAAGCATGATCTGATCTCAAGGTGTTTTGGAAATATATTGGCATTTGCTCACATAGGGAAGGGCATGGAAAAGCAGATTGGAGGGTAAACGTGGGAGTTTGGTTTTGGTCAGATTAAATTTGCTATGCCTATTTAACATCTAAGTGGAAATGTCAAGTAGGCAGTTTGAGTCTGAGTTCAGAAGAGGGGCGTGAGTCGGAGATATGAGAAATAGGGAGGGAAGATGGTTTAAAGGTCTTATCCATGAGGTTTACAGATGAAGAGGATGAGAAGGAACCAGCAAAGGAGAGTAAGAAGGAGCAGTCAGTGAGAAAGGAGGATAAGAGTGATGTCTTTTTTTTTTTTAGACGGAGTTTCGTTCTTGTTACCCAGGCTGGAGTGCAATGGCGTGATCTCGGCTCACCGCAACCTCCGTCTCCTGGGTTCAGACAATTCTCCTGCCTCAGCCTCCTGAGTAGCTGGGATTACAGGCATGCACCACCATGCCCAGCTAATATTTTGTATTTTTAGTAGAGATGGGGTTTCACCATGTTGACCGGGATGGACTCGATCTCTTGACCTCGTGATCCACCCGCCTCGGCCTCCCAAAGTGCTGTGATTACAGGCTTGAGCCACCGTGCCTTGGAGGCTGAGTGAGGAATAGTTTAAGGAGAGTAATCGTGTCAAATGCTGATAGGTGTTATTATTATAACTCACTGCACTGTATACTACCTGTTTGGGGAAAATCTACTCCTGTTACATACTATTACATAGAGAAACTATTTATAACATCACTTTTATTATCAAATGAAGTTCTGCTGCAGGGCACAGCGCACTGGACCATTAGATGCAACACCTGAAGGAAGGCCTAGAGAAGCGTCAGATGCACATCAGCGTAAACAGTTTTGCCACTGGCCCTGCAAATGCCCTCATCAGAAGCCCCATTGCCCTCCTGGAGTGAGCCTGGTGAGAGATGGCTGTGGATGCTGCAAAATCTGTGCCAAGCAACCAGGGGAAATGTGCAATGAAGCTGACCTCTGTGACCCACACAAAGGGCTGTACTGTGACTACTCAGGAGACAGGCCTAGGTATGAGACCGGAGTATGTGCATGTAAGTGTCTTCTGGACCCTCTGGAAAAGATTGAGTCTAGACAGACTTTTCCTTTCCTCTCCTGCAATTGTTAGCTTTGAGTGATGAGCTCAGTTTGGCTAAATATGAGATGGGTTTAGTTTTCATGCACTAGTGGGACTGGCTCCATTGTAGTGGATCCTATGTGAAATTAGCAGATGCTTACATACATTTAGAAACCCATTATTTTCACTGCATTGACATGATCTTGCAGTTCTTCTCAGGTAATTTACTGATAGAAGGTAAGAGGAATCATCCAAATGGAGTCTGACTTCTTAAAGTGCTACAAAATGACAGCTTTTGTTAATACAGTCAAAAAATAATCTGAATTCAGCCTTTTCTGTAACAAAAAATAGTCAGCTTAAAAATATTAGAATGTATACCCATTATTCAGACATACAACTTTAACCTCAGCTTTCCCAACTAATGGTCAAGTTGCTGTGCTTTACTTCAGCAGATTTGTAAAAACAAAACAAACAAAAAGTGAGGTCATCCCAAACCACAACCTGACCCTCAGCTTTATGTGACTAAGCTCTGGAGACTGATTCAGACCATCTACACATTGACACTAATTCAGGATGACAAATTATTTAGGATTAAAAAAAATTTCTAAGAAGGAAGGCAAATTGCTATCAGAAGTATGGTTATGAGCTGTGGAATGAGAATCTATCTTTGGAGTCAGACTGAATGTGTCAAACTCAAGTTTGACAGCCTGATGTGCCTGCCAGCCCTGTATTGTAGGGTTAAAAATGTGGGATCTGGGTTCAAGTCCTGATTGCTCTGCCAAGTGAATATACTTCATCAAGATGTTTATTCTCTCTGTGCCTCAGTTACATAATATACACTTCCTAACTTACAGAGTTGCTAGGAGGATCAAATAAAATAATGACATAAAACACCTAGCACAATATCTGGTATTCAAGAGGTTCTCAAAAATGTTATTTATTGGAATCCTATAAGGAAAACATGACCTATCAAACAATGGCATTCAGGACACCCATTTCTCCCAAGCTGGGCAGGTTATTTCATTAACCCAACAAACACTTAGTGACCATCCACTACAGAGCCAAGCACTGTGGCCAGCAACTGAGGATACAACAGGGAAAAAGTGATACAAGCCTTGGCCTCAGAGAATCAAATATTAAGGTGTCAGATCTTTCCATAGTAATTTCACACAAAATGTGATGAGACTTTTAACAGAGCATAGCCACGAGGAGAGTAATAGAGATAATCTATAACTGGGACACCAAACTATATAGGGTCAAATCTAGCCAACAGCCTGTTTCTGTAAATAATGCTTTATTGGAACACGGCACGTACATTAACATAGAGTCTATGGCTGCTTTACGATGGCAGAATCAGTAGTTTTGATGGACACTCACTGGCTTGCGAAGGCTAATGTGTTTTCTGTTTGGCTCTTTATAGAAAATTTGGTGATCCCTGATCAGGAGCAATGTTTTAAAAACTTTTTGACTTGAGGACCCCCTTTGTAGTCTTAGAAATTGCCTCTTTATACTCTTAGAAATTAATGAGGATCTAAAGAGCTTTTATGTGGGGTTTATCTATTGATATTTGATGGATTAGAAACTTAGAAATATTTATTAATTTAAAAAGAATAAACCCATTGCAGATTAATAAGAAAAATGTTTTTATACAAAATGTGTAATTTATTTTCCAAAGAAAAGTTTAGTAGAAGAGTGTTATTGTTTTATATTTTGCTGCAAATCTCTCTAGTGTCTAGCTCAACAGAAGCTAGCTAGATTCACATATTTATTGCTTTCTTCAATCTGTTACTATGTGTTTTTTTGTTGAAATATGTGAAGGAAATCTAGCATCACACAGCTATATAATTTGAAAAGGGAGGAATATTTTAAAAGGTTTTTCTGATAATTGTGAATACACTTTTATGTTTATTGATATATTAAAACCTGACAAGTGATAGTGTCTTTAAAAATTAGCTGCATCAGAGAATCTGAAACCACATCAATGAACTTTCAGCTCTGTGACATTAAAATGCATTGGTCTATCCAAGACCCATTTGGAACAGATCTTTTACTCATGCATAATTTTACCATTTTATGCATTGTTTATTTGGAAAATATGTTTACTGTGATGTAGAGATGTCCAAAATATTGATACACTTAATTATGTAATGGTAAAAAAAATCACATTAATATCATCCTCATCAGAAGAGTCTACATATTGGATAAATACAAAGATTTCAGTGATGGATATGAGTTTTCCAAAATTCTAATTTTTCCTTGAAATCTTGAATTCTCTCACTGGCAAGAAATGTGGTCACAGTTGTTTTCCTTGAAGTGACAGGCTCATTTTGCTCATTAAAAAAAAAAAAAAAATGTTTCCAAAATACCCAAGTCTGAATAACCAGTTTATTGTCAGTCATTTCTTCAAGTAAATTCCTACTAAAAAAAGTGGTTAGTTCAGCTCACAACTTTACCAATGACATAGTTCCTTAAGTTTCTCTGAGACAGCTATTTGCTTAAGTTTCAAGACAGCTATTGCACTAGAATACTCTATGTATATTTCCTATTTTGTCACATAGAATACTAAAAGACCAGTATTTGATAATTAAGAGTTCATAAAATTAATACTTTTTACTATGCCATCAAGGACATTCTTAGGTAAAACTCCCCCCTGACCTCTTTTAAAGTATAAGTACCTGCAAGGAAAAATACAAGATTACCTCTACAGTGTGATTCATGCACCAGCAGTTTAGCCATGATTGCTTTTGTACCACCAGTGCAAATACCAACATGGTGAAAAAGGCCAGCCACAACTTAGTATTTGGAAAAGAGTTTTGACCCTGCAGATCCCCTGAAAGTGTCTCAGGTTGTGCCAAGGGATTAGAGGACCATACTTGGGGAACAGCTGATCTAGAAGGTCAAGAATACCCCTCAGAGGAACTGAAACTCTCCTACAATCTCTTAACAGAAACCATCGGTACTTTGCAGTTCCACAAACTAAGTTATAGTTTTTTCAGATATTCACTTATCCCGTCTTCCTAAGAATATATCCTAGCCTATTGTTGGATGTCTGGGGAAACCTGTCTCACTAAGCATCAACCTAGCTCAGATTTATTATCAACTGCTATACTTACATTGATTTTGCAGGGTCTTTTCTTGGTCTTAATTCTGGAAGTGACCATGTGGGGTTTATAGCCTACAATATAATGAGAAAGCCTCATTTTAAAAACCTTTCTACAGATGTCCTGTGAAGGAGATTCCAAATGAGACCTAAGAGGTTGAGAGCTATACTTCATACAGGAGATAAGCCATTTCTTCTCAGGTTTATAATTGGAGGTCTAGACTGTCACGGGTTATGGCTTTGGTGATTTTGCTCTTTTCTCTTTTCAGACCTTGTAGCTGTTGGATGTGAGCTCAATGGGGTACACTATCATAATGGCCAAGTGTTTCAGCCCAACCCCTTGTTTAGCTGCCTCTGTGTGAGTGGGGCCATTGGATGCACACCTCTGTTCATACCAAAGCTGGCTGACAGTCACTGCTCTGGAGCTAAAGATGGAAAGAAGTCTGATCAGTCAAACTGTGGCCTGGAACCATTACTACAGCAGCTTTCAACAAGCTACAAAACAATGCCAGGTGCTCAAAAGTAGAGCTATTTTTCATGTATGACCATGGTGGTATTCTTTCATGTTCCTTTTATGTACCATAGGTATGCAGTAAGTAGTTACTGATTGGTGGTCAGAGTGAGATACAGTTTGAGTATATCATCTTAATCTTTGCCTCAGACAAGGATAAATGTCTGAAAAGGAAATTTTATAATGTTTTAGAATTTTCCGCTAAAACATTTAAAAACATTTTTAGAAGATCTACTAGATCAGGTAGCTCCTCTAAAATCTTACACCTCTGCTTATTCCCAACCTCTTCTCAGGAAAATTGACCAGATATTGTTCACATGCACCCTGCAACAACTTATTTGTATTGTTCTATTATGGGCAAGAAATTTGACTATCCACTTCCCCAAATTTTAAATGGCAAGCCCACATATTTGGAACTTGTAAATATATTATTTCTAAAAATAGAAAACTGGTAGGAAGTCTTTTCATTCACTTTGAAATTGAAGCTCAATTACTAATCTTTCTCTCTCAAAACACACACACACAACACACACACACACACACACACATTTTTAAGTAGGTTAACCATGTAAATATGTACTCAGAAAAATGAAGTATGACTGACTCTTCATTACTCATCTTGAGCACCTGGCCATTTGCAAACAGTTAGCTTAAGTATATTCATAAACCTTGTATTCTGGTCTGCTCTAAGTTAGCATTTTATTTAGGCATCAGCATATTTTGGGAACAGGCATTTCAAAACCACCAGCAAATAAAGTATAGAAGAGGAAGGACTCAAAAGGGGCAACACTGAAGTCTGGTTCTTGTTCACATCTGTGTTCTCAACCAGAAATCAAGAATGCCTTTTTCTTAAAGTTTAGAGCTTAGTGAGAGTTGGCATGGAAATACAGAATACTTGTACATGTTAACAAGTCATAAGTTCACTTTTATTATGTGGATATTTAATAAAGGCAACTATAAGCAGAGAAGTAAATTTTAGGTATTTAAAAACTAACTCTATGAAGGGAACATCCTCAGCAACTCCAGTTTTGTCAGTTAATTAGAAAAAAAAATTACCAGGTTGTGGTGAATTTGCATTTGCTATACATTTTCAGTTGACAGCATGGCACTACTAATGCTCTAAAACCTCTCAAATTATAAGCCATATCCTTTTTTTATTTTTTCAAAATGTACAGAACACTTGGTTTTCTGCATTGGATCTTACTGATTCAATATAAGGCTCTTAGAACCCATGCATAAACTTCCCTGGAAAGATTACCTTAGAGCAGTTTTCCACAAGTAAAGCCCTTTGGATCAAGTTCAAGTTGGTCTCGAGACCGATCCAACATGGCCCTTTAGGAGCAGCTCAGGATTGCAGCTCCCAGTGAAAGTACAGAGGGGGAGTGGATGCTGCATTTCCAGATGGATCTTTATTGCCCACAGACCAGGAGATTCCCAGGCAGAGGAGCCCCACGGGTCGCCACCGCGGCTGTTTCGGCTGGCGTGGCTGTTTTGCCCAGTGGCTCTCACTGGTCTGGTTGCTCTTTAAGCTGGCAACTGGAGCTCCGAGAAGGCAGATTCACCCATTCATCTGATTGAACGGGTCTGAAACAGGGAGCCAGGCCAGGAGATTCCAGGGCAGCGCCGTTGTTTCAGCTGGTGCAGTGGGTCGCCACATGGGAAATCACACAGATCCCAGTGCCCTTTCAGCAGGCTACTGGAACACCTAGGAGAAAATCAACCGTTCAACTTAAAAATAAAAAGGTGGCTCAAGCCTGTAATCCCAGCACTTTGGGAGGCCAAGGCGGGTGGATCACAAGGTCAAGAGATTGAGACCATCCTGGTCAACATGGTGAAACCCTGTCTCTACTAAAAATACAAAAAAAAAAAAAAAAAAAAAAAATTAGCTGGGCATGGTGGTGCATGCCTGTGATCCCAGCTACTCAGGAGGCTGAGGCAGGAGAATGGCCTGAACCCAGGAGGTGGAGGTTGCAGTGAGCCAAGATCACGCCATTGCACTCCAGCCTGGGTAACAAGAGCGAAACTCCATCTCAAAAAAAAAAAAAAAAAAAAGGCTCTGAGGCATAGAGCCAGGTGATCAGGCTTGGCAGGTCCCACCCCCACAAAAACAAAAATGCCCCAGCAATTGGAAACGCTTGGGGTTGAGAGTTTCACAGCAAGCACAGCTGAACCCAGGATGGAGCAGCCCGGTGGGGGAGGGGCGTCTGCCATTACCGAGGCACTCCACCCCTACGGAGGTAGTCTGCCATTGCTGAGGCAGCCTGCCATTGCCAAGGCAACCCGCCATAACAGAGAGAGTCCGCCATTACAGAGGCAGTTCTAACCACACCCATATAAACAGGACTGCAGGGAAGTCTACATGGCAGCAGGGTGGAGCCCACAGCAGTTCAGCAAAGCCTCTGCAGGCAGTGACTAGGCTGCCTCCTTGCTGGGCAGGGCAGCCCTGAAAAAAAAAAAAAAAAGGCAGCAGCACAACGGATACTCATAAATAAAGCCCTAACTCCCTGGGACAGAGCACCTGGGGAAAAAAAGGGGGTTTATGAGTTCTGCTGCAGCAGACTAAAACGTACCTGCCTAGCAGCTCTGAATGAACAACGGAGCTCACAGCTCAGCACTTGAGCTCCTATAAAGAACAGATTGTCTCCTCAAGTAGCTCCCTGACCCCTGTATATCCAAAGAGTCACCTCACAAAGGACTGATCAGACTGACATTTGGTGGGCATCATTCTGGGACAAATATAGCAAAGAAGAAACTGGTAGCAACCCTTACTGTTCTGCAGCTGCTGCAGGTGATCCCCAGGCAAGCAGGGCCTGGAGTGGACCTCAGCAGGCCTACAGCAGAGAGGCCAGACTGTTAGAAGGAAAACTAAGAAACAGAAGTTCAAGTTGGTCTCATCTGAGAATTTAGAGCAGTTCAATGGATTCACTTTAACCTGGGTTGGGAGAAGCATCTGATAGTCAGTCTTAGTAGTTAGTGCTTTGTCATATAAAACAAGAAAATCTCCTGAAATGTTCTCTGGTATTTGAGATTTAGACCTAGATGTGTTTCAAAGGAAGAATATGTTCAGTCTAAGGTTTCTTCATTGCTTAACTGTAAAATTATGTTTATGGCCCACACAGGAATTTGGCATTTAAAATTAACCACAATGATAAAAACACATACTTTAAGATATATTTGTGATGGTAATTTATATAGTCTCTGGTTGGAATCTAGCTTTTGCTAGGTCAGTATGAAGCATGCAATGACATAATGCTCTCATGCTTTTTTCAACGCTCACCAAATGCTAAGCTTTGTTTCAAAAATCTCTTCTAGTTTTCTTGCTTTTTAATGAATGTTAAACTCCTAAACTACAGCTCTTGTTTAACAAGTGGGATTACTGTAACACGGTAATCTAACCTGCCTTTATTTATTGCAGATGTGTGCCAGGCTTCTAATCTGCTTCCTGCATTGAGGTCTTTAAACTGTTGTCTGCCTTCCAGGTATCTTCACGTTTCTATTTCCTCTCCCTCAGTTTTATGTGCAATTGTGACAGATTCTACTGTAATTACACTGAAAGCAGTATCATACCATCAATTCAAAGATTGCACATACTTAAAAGAGACTATTTCCTATGAAGAAGGCATTCTTTTTCTGAGTCTTTTTCAAGTTTTAAATGGATTTTTTGAAGTAATATAGCCATAATTTTGCTATGCAGACTTAAATCACAACCACACGCCAAAGCATCCATTTCAAGATGCACATTAGCTTTAAGGAAATGCCTTGAGACAATAAGTCAATATGTAGTTTGCTTAAAATGAGCCAAGGGCCTGACTGATTTATAACAAAAAGCTCCCAATGACTTTACACAGAAATGGGAGAATTATTATACTCTCTTATATTCTCATTATTACCCTCTTCTATTTCTCCTTAGCAGTAGACATTGGAGGGGCTCTATCTACTCACTCACTGACCCATCTATTGATCCATTCATTCTGTTTTTTCCATAAGTAATTTGAAATCATAGCCAACTGGAGAGTGCCTCGGGCCTGATAACACAGGGAGTATGAAGTTAAGTTGAATTAATGAAATTATCCATTTGCAATGACTTTGTATATAAATGATTAGATAGTTTAGTTCAGCATAATATTAGTTTTCTAAAAGACTAGATTAAAACAAATGGAAGAAATCTGTCTCATTGACAGTCTAATTCTCAAACATAATTTTTGTAGTTTAGATTTTAACATATCATGAAAGTTAACATTAAGATCACACTGTTCTGATCAATATCTCGAATTCCTTAATTTTCATTTCAATGTCTGTTAAATGATGAGGCAAGAACCAGGGAAAAGATAACTTATCAACAAGAACATAAGGTTACATTTAGTATTCAGAGGACAGGCTAAGCAGAAAGATGCAAATGAGTAAATCTCAGTTTTTCAAAGATAAAGTATTTTTATTCTTCCTTACAGATTAGACTGTAATACTTGATTGAAAGGTAATTTTGGGATTGGGAAAGAGGGAGACAGAATGATAAATTAGACCATCAGCTTCTTTTATTCTGAATTACATCATATAAAAATATTCAGATTTCTTAAATATTAGGTTAAACATGATTAAAAATTATCTATTTATATATTTATATGTATACATACATACTTTTCTTCCTTTTAGATTATAGAAATCTCCCACTTACTTGGAAAAAAAAATGTCTTGTGCAAGCAACAAAGTGGACTGCCTGCTCCAGAACATGTGGGATGGGAATATCTAATAGGGTAACCAATGAAAACAGCAACTGTGAAATGAGAAAAGAGAGAAGACTGTGTTACATTCAGCCTTGCGACAGCAATATATTAAAAACAATAAAGGTAACATTTAAATAGATTTTGTTTTTTTTGAGACAGAGTCTGGCTCTGTCACCTAGGCTAGAGTGCAGTGGCACAATCTCATCTCACTGCAACCTTCGCCTCCTGGGTTCAAGTGATTATCCTGCCTCAGCCACCAAGTAGCTGGGATTACTGCTAGGCACCTGCCATCACACCTGGCTAATTTTTATATTTTTAGTAGAGATGTGGTTTCACCATGTTGGCCAAGCTAGTCTCGAACTCCTGCCCTCAGGCGATCCACCCGCTTTGGTCCCCCAAAGGGCTGGAATTACAGCTGTGAGCCACCATGCCTGGCCAAGTTTAAATGATTTAACTTAATTATAATTCAATATAAAGAGATTCCTGAAAATCAAGTGTGTGTGGGTTTTAGAGGGAGGGACGGTGTTTAGTTCTTACAAAAATAAAATCGTCTCATTATAATGCTTAAAGTCAAACTATTTCAGAGGAAAACAGATATTAATCTAACTGCAATTTGTGGGGAAAATATTACTAAACATAGCAGATTCTAACTTTTCTCTCTCTTAATGAATAAAAGACTTTGGTTGCTACCCTATAATTATGAAAACAGAGATTAGGAACACTGGAGTAGAGAAGTTCTAATCTTAGTTATATGTCACTAACCTGGAAGGAGACCACACTGTTTCCAAAATGCTATATGCTTACATAGCAAACTTGCTAAAGCATTACGAGAAAATATTTACCCTAAGATTGTTTGGTATAACTAGAGCTGGTCCTACTTCTTGAACTAGGCAGGATGTCCGTCTCAAAAAGAGTAATTTTTAGAAATGCTACAAAATCCTTCCTACACTCAAGTTATTCTCTATCATATTAGCAAGTTGATGACTCAGTTTTAAAGAGATTAGGATTAAATTATTCATCTATCCATCACCCAAAACTGGGCTGTTATGAAAGTTGCTACGTCTTAGGTAGGTATTTAATAAGACATGGCCCTTGATAGTAAACAAAACAGAAATGTCTATTGTGAAACTGAGTAAAGAATAGAGAGCAAAAAACAATGAGGTGTGGGTGTTATAATATGATGGAGTAAGAACAGAGAGAACAGACGTCTGGTGAGAGGGGATCTTAAAGGCAGAGAAAAGAGTGCTAGAAATCACTACAGAACAACTTTTATTGATGCCTCCAAATAATTTTATTTGTGCCATAAAATATTCTACACATTATTTTTCTAAACTATTGTAATAAAATTTAAAGAATGAATTCTTAATATTATATATCTTTTCAGATCCCCAAAGGAAAAACATGCCAACCTACTTTCCAACTCTCCAAAGCTGAAAAATTTGTCTTTTCTGGATGCTCAAGTACTCAGAGTTACAAACCCACTTTTTGTGGAATATGTTTGGATAAGAGATGCTGTATCCCTAATAAGTCTAAAATGAAAACTATTCAATTTGATTGCCCAAATGAGGGGTCATTTAAATGGAAAATGCTATGGATTACATCTTGTGTATGTCAGAGAAACTGCAGAGAACCTGGAGATCTATTTTCTGAGCTCAAGATTCTGTAAAACCAAGCAAATGGATGAAAAGTAGTCAATCCTGTCATATAATAAAAAAATTAGAGTATAAAACTGTGGCAAATCTTTTTGTTTAAAACAGTAAGAATGCCTAGCTATCCTCAGATCACTATATTTAAGGCATTAGCAGTTTTTTAAAAAAGTTCTAAAAATATATGTAAAATTTGAAAAACTTAAAAATTGAACTCATTTCTAAAATATATCCTATAACTACATAATACACAGACATTTGATACCATATAAGCATTTTGTATATAAAAAAATTATGCAATTTACAAGAAAATATTTTTAAAAAATAATCTGGAATACTTGCTGAAGATGTGTAAAAAAGCATACTAAATTTTAGGCTGGGCGCAGTGGCTCATGCCTGTAATCCTAGCACTTTGGTAGCCTGAGGCAGGCGGATCATTTGAGGTTAGGAGTTTGAGACCAGCTTGGCTAACAAGGTGAAACCCTGTCTCTAATAAAAAAAAAGTACAAAAATTAGCTGGTGTGGTGGTGCATGCCAGTAATCCGAGCTACCTGAGAGGCTGAGGCAGAAGAATCACTTGAACCCAGGCAGTGGAGGTTGCAGTGAGCTGAGATCACACCACTGCATTGGCATGGCAGAGTGAGACTCCTTCGGGGGAAAAATAAACAAGCATACTCAATTTAAAAAATTTAATCTACATTTGACAATGTAGCCTAGGTTTCCATTAGCTGATAAATCATTATAGAGGCATGTGAGATTCTAGATTAATTCCTGAACAGAAAGAAGATTAAGCCATAAATATACTTTTCATTGCCTGATGTTGAATATCAGTTTCTTTTGGAAAGGAGACAATGCAACTTTTCTGGCCATTGTTAATAACTGCAAACTAAATTTTTTTATATGAAATATTGTAAAAAATTAAATATCCAAGACAAAGACCAAGAACAGTATTATGACTTTGCAAAGAAAAGAAACATAAAGAATAAAACTTAAAATTAGCCCCATGGATCTGAAGTATAAATTGTTATTAAAAATACATTAATGATAAGACTAGAACTAAAGATTACAGTAACTGGAACAATTATAGCCATTTATTGCAAAGTTTGGAAGAAGTTATCAAGCTTAGTAATGTTCTGTTCATTTATATAAATGACATGCAAAACAATAACAAGTAGCACTGTTTAAAAATTGGGGGGAAAAGGGGAGGGCCAGTGGGAGGGGGAGGTGGGGAGGGATGGCCTGGGGAGAGATGCCAAATGTGGGTGAAGGGGAGAAGAAAAGCAAAGCACACTGCCATGTGTGTACCTACGCAGCTGTCTTGCATGCTCTGCTCATGTACCCCAAAACCTAAAATCCAATAAAAAATTAAAAAAAAAAAAAATACGGTCATTTATTATAAAATCAACACGTTTGATAAGAAAGCAATTCTTTTAAAAGTTTAGGCCAGGTGTGGTCACTCACACCTGTAATCCCAGCACTTTAGGAGGCCAAGGTGGGAAGATCATGGGGTCAGGAGTTCAAGATGAACCTGACCAACATGGTAAAACCCCATTTCTACTTAAAAAAAAAAAAAAACAAAAATTAGCTGGGCATTGTGCGGCATGCCTATAATCTCAGCTACTCAGGAGGCTGAGGCAGGAGAATCACTTGAACCCAGGAGGTGGAGGTTGCAGTGAGCTGAGATTGGACTACTGAACTTGAGCCTGGGCAACAGAGTGAGACTCCATCTCAAAAAAAAAAAAAAAAAAAAAGTTTAATGCAAATAAATTTTAAGTGTACAAATTAGGATCCTTTTGAGCAAACAAGTTGTCATCTAAAGAAGGAACAAAACCTCCTTAACAGTTGTAATAAAAACCTATGCCTGAAAAGTTAGTGGATATTACACGGAAATATTTATATTGTATTCTTCTACTCCTGGTAACTATTTATATGGAATCAGGAGAACTTAAATAGAATATCAAGATATAAATCATAAATACTTACAAAAATATATCTGTACAAGATTTTTATTGAAGACATAATTATCAGTGCAATGCCTAAATATAAGGCTATAAATATAGCAAAATATTCAAGAACTCTGTTCTTTCAATTTTAGAAAAAGGGACTTTGCTGAAGAGAAATGTTTGAAGTTAAGATACTAGGATTTCACTAATTGCACATATAGGTATTACCAACAAACTGTGATTAAACAGAACTCACTCTTTAAGACAAAAATATTTCCTGAAAATATGAAAAAAAAAAAAAAAAAAAAAAAAAAAAAAAAAAACAAAAAACCCTGGACTTTCCGAATCACAAAAATGCTGAAACAGGTCAGAAAAAACAATGTGAGATTAAGAAAGTATTTTTGGGGTTTTCTTATTTACACAGCTATGCTTAGTCTGGGTAAATCCTGCACAGGCACGTTTTTTGTGGCATCCAGTTGGTTATATTCCTGTATGAGTGCTGATAAAGATGACACAGCTTCTGTGAAACAGCTTTCTTCCATCCCTTCAACTTGTAGATAGTGATGAAGGTGAGCCTAGAAATTAAAAAATTTGGTAACATTTACCATTTCAGGAACTTTAATACCTACAACTATCCTATAAGGTAAGTTATTCCTTATTAAAATTAGAATTCATTCAGCTCTACATTTGAAAGAGAACTTGTGTCAAATTGAATAAATCCTATTAACTAATGAAATTTCTCATTTAGAGTAAAAATAGCACAAGTAAGCCTCTCCTCTTCATTTATAATTTATAATCAGTACAACAAACATAATAGAAAAGATCACCCTGATTTGTAATAGTGTAATTCTTAAGAACATATCTTAAATGGCCAAAATTAACACATACAGTTACAAAGGGGTATGATAATCACCTTTTTCTTGTAGAGCCTCATGAATCTCTCCTTCAGTTCCATGAAGGTGGGCTTCACACATGTGTTATTTGCTAAAGCTAATAATGAATGAGAATGGCCCACAGGAGGTATGGAACACAGGCTGGTCTTCCAGCCTTCTTGATTCCAGGAGACAAATTGTAGAGATGGTTTTAATCTGAGATTAAAACAAACAAACAACACATACAGCTCAAAGGCAAGAATTAAGGCACTAAAAATGTCTGCCTTATTATTGCAGCTTATATTAGTTAAACTAGAACATTATGGATGGTATCATTCTAATTTCTTAGTTTACAAGCTAAGTTATCTGTTTTTTACCATTGGGAGTAACATGGTATAGTCAGATAGTGAACTAAAAGACATTTAATAGGGGAACATTAAACTGACTGTGATGGTGATTCAAGAAGCTAGAAACTCAATCCTTAAGATTAGAATTTAGGGATATAAAGAAAAGAAGGTATTATTTCCTTACTTTGTAATTCAACAGAGTAGTTTTCTTATACATAGAATTAAATAGGAAAACAAAAATCAGAAGCGGCAGTAGCAGTGGCAGTGCCAGTGGCAGCAGTAATAACAATAATATCAACTACAATTTTCTGAACACTTTCAGAAAATAAAACATCTCATATATCATTTAATACTCCTAAATAAAAACTATGTACTATTATTATCCTTATTTTATACTTGGAAAAAAACAAGGCACAAAGAGACTAAGTAGTTTGTTCAAGGTCACACTTTAGTAAGTGGCATTGTTAGAATTTGAAAAGCAGCTATTAACTACTATGCCACACGGTCCCAAGCAGCACACACAAATTATCTTTAAAAATATTAAGCAAACCTTTCAATATTTCTGCGAAGATCTGAAATTTGTACATTTCCTCTCACCATGAGCGCACAGGCGAGGTAAAGACTGTGTTTGGGGTCTGCCTGAAGCAGCTGGTGATCTTTACTAAAGGCATCTGAAAACATCTGATCCAATCTGCAACAATGAAAGAGTCATTGTCTATATAAAATATTACTTCTTTCTTCTATGTACAACTATAAAATGAAGACAGTCCTCTATAAGTAAATAAACCACACTAAGTATTATCCTAACAAAATATTAGATTATATATATTCTAAAAATAGTAAATAGCTATAATTTTCTTGAAGCAATCTTGATGATAAATACGAGAAGGGAAAAAAATCATATATTTTCTTTTTGCTGGGGGAGAAAAGCTTCTGTAGTATATTGGTGATCTCAGGTAGCTAAAAAATGTTGACTGTAGCATTACTGAACTCTATGTAGTACTGATTTTTGAAACTTGTATCATTATTACTTAGTTCAGTATACCTTATTTATTTCAAAGTATCCAAATTACTAAAACTAATTAAAAGCCGATAACATTAAGACTATTACTTTGTAAAGTATATTATATCATAAATTAGTTAACAGGAGGAAATTATCAAAGGACAATGTGAAGCTCTCCTATAAAACATGAAACTCCATAGTAGTGCTCCTAAAAGCAGAGACTTTTAACCTAAGTCTTTTAACTGAAGGCTAAAAGATAAAAGAAAATAAAGGTGACTGACAATGTTTATATCTAACAATACACAGACTCCTATGCTAGCCTGATGGCAATGTTCATTTAATGATCACCATGATGCATACACCGTGTATGATGCTTAACTTGTTCATCAGCACCCCATGCAGGAAGGAAATTCTATCTATTAGTTGGCAAAGTGGTCATTTGCTGTTGGCTTAAATAAAAACTTACCAATATCACTTGTGACATTCCTGAAGTATAGAATTATCTTGTCAAAACTTTAATTATAAAAAAGAATCTTTAATTTAGTTTAAAAAATTTTTTTAAATTATTTTTAATCTGTTTTAGAGACAGGGTCTTGATTTGTTGCCCAGGCTGGAGAGCAGTGTCACAATCACAGCTTGCTGCAGCCTCAAACTCCTGGGTTCAAGTGATCCTCCCACCTCAGGCTCCTCAGTACAGGTGCACACCACCACGTCTGGCTAGTTCAAGAAAATTTTTTTTGTAGAGACAGGGTCTCAGTATGTTCCCCAGCTGGTCTTGAACTCCTGGGCTCAAGTGATCTTCCCATCTCATCCTTTCAAAGTGTTGGGATTACATGTGTGAGGCACTGTACTCAGCAATTTAGTTTTCACTTTCTTATTTATATACTGTCCCCTTACAGAGTTCGGCAAGACCTTTTCCCTCAGCCAACTGTGAATGTCACTGTGAATTTTTCAATCTCATCATCAATGTATACGCTAAGAGTATCTTTCAAAACTACATTTTTTTGTTAAATATACTGATGAAATATTTGTGCTTAACAATAAGCAAGGTGTTCTGGAAAACATACAGAGTTACATCTGAAATCCTTTTATTGTGCTGGGCTGTGACAGTAGCTTTAAAACAAACTCTCATTTAATCTAACCAATAAGTATATGAGGTAAGCACTATTTCATTTTTACAGATGAGAAAAACTAAGAAAGTTTAAGTCACTTGCCCAAGGTCTTGTAGCTAGTAAGTGACAATTAGGAACAAACATTGTTTGTCAGACTTCAAAGCACTTTTCATAAGCCTACAAATTTAATCATTAGATTTAAGTTCAAATAATTTAATACTGGTATTTTTCAACAATTACTTCCAAATAAAGATGCGTTAATCTAAGGGGAAAATGGCTGTCATTAACTGCATTTTATATACTTCTCACAGATAAGATGATACAATGAAATAACTAGAGTTATTGCAAACTTTTTTCTCTTACAATGTTTTTTAAAGTAATTTGAAGTCTCAAAAAATGGAAACAAAGTTAGACCTTACCTTCTAGGAGGAATGTTAACATCTGCCAGTGTATATAAAGGTGTTAGGCTTGACACGAGATAATGAAGCTGGGGAAAAGGAACTAAATTCATGCTGATTTCATTAAGGTCCATATTAAGGGACCCTTCAAATCTCGCAGAGCTAAAAAATTAACATTAAAATAATGAGAACATTTTTAATTTTAAAATTATACACTTCAAATGTAGCTCGATTTATTCAGCAAGTAGTTTCTCAGATTCTTTTGTACACTGTTCTTCAGTGCAAACACGTTTTCTTCCATATAGTGAAATTTAGTATCATGAACAATCATGTATAAAGTAAAATATAACACACAACATCTATACATCTATAGTAATTCTTTTTTCTTTTTTTTGGAGATAGGGTCTTGCTCTGGTTGCCCAGGCTGGAGTGCAGTGGTGCGATCTTGGCTAACTGTAACTGCCACCTCCCAGCTCAGCCTCCCGAGCAGCTGAGACTACAGGAGGTATATACCACCATGCTTGGCTAACTTTTGTATTTTCTATAGAGATGGGGTTTTACCATGTGCTCCAGGCTGGTCTTGAGCTCCTGGGCTCAAGACCTGTATTTTATATACTTGAGCCTTGGCCTCCCAATGTGCTGAGATTACAGTCATGAGGCACCATGCCTGGCCCTACACTAATTGTTTCTGGATTATCTAAAGTGTAACCAATAAACTATTATAGTTGCTCATTACACATATAAAATATCCTATATAAAACAAACTTTATATTTGAGTTAAACACATATAGGTCAATAATTATTATAGAAACAACTAAATCCCTCAAGGGTCTATAATCTAGAATGTAATAACGTCAAAGCAATCTCTGATACCAAAAAGCCACAGAAATATTTTGGACCTGCTAGTAAAGAGGTAAAATTAGTTGGTTTAAATGATTAGGACATTCTACAGCTACAAAATGTTTAATTTTGTCTAAGTGTTTCACAAGTGTGTCGACCACAAAATCTTTTATATGATACCTATTAATACTGCATGGAACACACTTGGTGAAATGCTGCTTTGGAGTTATAAGAATTAAAATTCTGCTTGATCACTCCAAGGAAAGAAAATACGAGACAAAATAAAAACAGAAGCAGCTCCTATAATAAAGAATAACTAAAAAATGCTACTATAAAAATTCAAAATATCACCCAAAGCACAATAAATGTTTTTGACTATCCCTGGATAGAATTACCTTGTTAGGTTGAGCAGCAAATTGGCCACAATGTTGTTCATTGCATCAAAAGGCTTCTTATGACATTTTTTTAAAGCCCCAGAACTTGAAGTAACCAGACTCTTTGGCTTCACAGTTGTACCCAACTTTCCAGAATTCACCATGAGGTCGATTTTGCTAATGATGTCAAATAAAGACTTTTGAGGGAAAAACATTGGGAGAGAAGCTGTTAAGAAGAGGGGATGTAGATGACAGTCCACTAGGAAAGAGAAAGAAAAGCAATTTAAACTGATGTTTTCTCTGAGATATAAACGTTGAAAAGTGAAGAGAATGTTTCATATAAACACATATACATAATACAGGACTAATATATATATAATTTATCCAAAGTTCCAATATAATTTCTTACTTGATTGTCAATGGGCAACACACAGTCTGCATGCTCATTAAGTTCCTTCATTGCCAAGATGCTATTATAAGGTGAGGTTATGACATCATCCTCACAAGAAGGATAAATGGAAGTTACAAATCTATATACTTCTGGGAATTCATCTTCAAGCATCTTTAAAAGAAAGGTGCCAAGTCCAGATCCTGTTCCTGAGGATTAAAATATTTTTTAAAATTAGCATAAATGATTCAGAATATAATTGAGGAATTTGAAACTTTACTTTTTTTGAGGCAGGGTCTTGTTCTGTCACTCAGGCTGGAGTACAGCAGCATAATCACAGTTCAATGTAGCCTCGACCTCCTGGGCTCAAATAATCCTCCTGCTTTCAGCCTCCCAAGTATCTGGGACTGCAGGGATGTGCCACCATGCCTGGCTAACTTTTTAATTTGTGTAGAGACAGAGTCTCCCTATGTTGCCCAGGCTGGTGTTAAATTCTTAGATTCAAACAATCTTCTGCCTTGGCCTCCCAAAGTTCTGGAATTACAGGCATGAGCCACCACGCTTTGCCAGAATTTTGTATTTGTAAAAATAATTTTCAATTTATTTCTGTTATTATATAGTAACGAATCTAATTTTGGATAAGGAAATGAAGGCAAGAGTCAGGAAATGAAGTCCTGAATGCCACCTGTGGCTCTGACAATGAGTCTGGGAGGGCCATCTATATTTTACTCTTCTTCATATTTAAGTTATAGTGATATGCCACAAGAACCGACTACACATGCACAAGCAAAAAATTCATCTATGACAGTATTCAGTCTACACTTGATATTAAGCAATTTAAGAAAACTAATTGGACAGCTTTATTGTAGTGTATATATAATCTTAACAAGGAAAACTATCATGTCATGAAGCAACTTAAATACTGAGTTATTTATAATTAAGCACATTGACCTCAAATTTCCAAAAATTTTCAAATATGAAACACTACTTAGTTAAAAGCAGAAACTCTAGGAATCTCATTAAAGATAATTTTCTGACACATAAAGTTATATTTACATAAATTCGGAAAATTTTCAGAACTTAAAAGTGGAATCCTCTAATTTGGTTTTTCAAACTGAGTTGTGAACTAGTAGGGGGCTATGAAACTAATAAATAGATTAATACCATTGAGACAAGAAAGGTTTGAAGGTAGTTTAAGGGGATTGATATCCTTTGGCAAGCACGCATTATGAACATGTCAGAAATGCTTCATTCTAGGAAACAGGACTGTACAGGCAGACTCTGAGGAGAAAGTCAGCATTCCTCAAAAGCTCATACATCCTGAAAAGTAGCTGAATGTTCTGTAAAAGAAACTAAAGGTGAGAGATCCAAGATGGCAGACCACTAGCAGCTCAGGCTTGTAGCTCCCAGTGAAAGTGCAGAGAACAAGGATGCCACACTTTCAGACGAATTTTTGTTGCTCAAGGACGAGGAGATTCCCAGTGGAGGAGCCCCATGGATCACCAGTGTGACTCTTGCAGCCTGCGCTGTGGTTTTGCCGGTGCCCCGGCACTGCAGTTCTTGGTGCAGAGTAAATGGGACTGGTTCCCCTTTTGGCCGACGTTTGGAGCTGACTGAAGAAGGGATTCAGAGGGAAACCAGATGGGAGACTCCTGGACAGAAAAGCACCAAGAATCTTGACGCCACTGTTTTAGCCGGCGCAGTGCGTTGCTCAGATTTCCGCCCTGGGAATTAACAAGTTGGACGTCCACTAAGAGACCTAATTTGAAAGTTGGTAATTACAAAGACGACCGGTGGGTAAATTTACAACGATGGGAAGAAACCAGCATAAAAAGGCTGAGGATTCTCAAAATCAGAATGCCTCTCCCTCTACAGAAGATCACAGTTCCTCATCAACAGGGGAACAAGGCCTGATGGAGAACGAGTGCATTCCATTAACAGAATCAGGCTTCAGAAGGTGGATAATAAGAAACTTCTGTGAGTTAAAAGAACATGTGCTAGCCCAATGTAAAGAAACTAAGAACTTTGAAAAAAGATTTGATGAAATCCTAAGGAGAATAGACAATTTAGAGAGGAATATAAGTGAACTAATGGAACTGAAGAATACTATATGAGAACTCCAAGAAGCATGCACAGGTTTTAACACTCGAATTGATCAAGCAGAAGAAAGGATATCAGAGGTCGAAGACCAACTTAATGAAATGAAACGAGAAGACATGATTAGAGAAGAAAAACCAAAAAGGAATGAGCAAAGTCTCCAAGAAATATGAGACTATGTGAAAAGACCTAATTTACATTTGATAGGTGTACCTGAATGTTATGAAGAGAATGAATCCAAGCTGGAAAATATTCTTCAGGATATGATTCAGGAAAACTTTCCTAACCTAGTAAGGTGGGACAATACTCATCTCCAGGTAATACAGAGAACACCACAAAGATATTCCTCAAGTAGAGCAACCCCAAGACACATAATTGTTAGATTCACCAGGGTTGAAATAAAGGAGAAAATTCTTAGGGCAGCTAGAGAGAAAGGTCAGGTTACCTATAAAGGGCAGCCTATCAGACTTACAGCAGATCTCTCAGCAGAAACCCTACAAGCTAGAAGAGAGTGGGGATTAATATTCAATATCCCCAAAGAAAAGAATTTTCAACCCAGAATCTCATATCCAGCCAAACTAAGCTTTATAAATGAAGGAAAAATAAAATTTTTCACAAAGAAGCAAGCACTCAGAGATTTCACCACCAGGCCTGCTTTACAAGAGCTTCTGAAGGAAGCACTACACACAGAAAGGAACAACCAGTATCAGTCATCCCAAAAACTTACCAAAAGATAAAGAGTATCTCCATAATGAAGTATTTACATCAACTAATGGGCAAAATAGCCAGCCAGCATTAAATGACAATATTAAACTCACAAATATCAATATTAATCCTGAATTTAAATGGAATAAACGCCCCAATCAAAGACACAGACACACAAACTAAATAAAAAGTCAAAACACATTGGCACTCTGTATCCAAGATCCAGCTCATAAGCAAGGACACACAAAGACTCAAAACAAAAGGTTGGAGGAAGACTCACCAATCAAATGGAGAGGAAAGAAAAACAAAACAAACAAACAAACAAATAAAAAAACAGGAGTTGTAACTTTCATCTGACAAAATAGACTACAATAGTAACCAAGACTAAAAGAAACAAAGAAGGACATTACATAATGATAAAAAGATCAATGCAACAATAGGAGTCAATGATTATAAATATATATGTATCCAATATAGGGGCACCAGATATATAAGACAAGTTTTCACTGACTTATAAAGAGACTTGGACACCCACACTAATAGCAGGAGACTTTGACACCACATTGTTAATATTCGACAGATCAACGAGATAGAAAATTAACAGAGACATTTATGATTTGAACTCAGACCTGGAACAAGTAAACTCAGTGAATATTTATAGAATTCTTCACCCCAGGTCCACAGAACATACTTTTTTTTTTTTTTTTTTTTTTTTAGTATCACATTACACCTATTTTGAAAGTGACCACATAAATGGAAGCAAATCACTCTTCAGCACTTGCACAGCATTTCACAGATTTAAACGAAATATTGGTTGGCTGTTTGTTTGTTATTTTCTTTCCTTATTCCTTCCTGTCTCCGCTGTTAAGCACAATCATCACCATAAAAGAGGTTTTTAATACCTATTTCTAGATTGCATTCCAGCCTGGGCAATAGAGCAAGACTCCTGTTCTCTCTCCCCGTTTTCTCTTTCTCTTTCAAAAAAAAAAAAAAAAAAGGAAACTAAAGGTAAAAAAAAAACTTTCCAATATAATTCTGTTGACTCTTAAGAGGGCTTACATTAACAAAAACAAACAAAAAAGAAAATAGTGACATAATTCCACAAAATTTTAAGATAAAAAGGTGTATGTTTATATGCTCAACTCATACACACTCCGAATAGTTCCATTTTTAGCAAGAACAGGTCTAAAAACAAGACTTATGTTTGAAAAATGAATTCTCACTTTAACACTGTTACAGGCAAATGAATGAAAAATTTTACCTCCTCCCATGGAATGTATTATAAAGAAACACTGCAAGCAATCACAGTGCTCTGCCGATTTTCTGAGTTTCTCTAAAAGCTGGTCTTGGTAAAGACTGCCAAAAACTTTGTGACCCACAGCCCTGAAAATAAAAATATAGATTAAAAAAAAATCCTTGCATGTATTATTTTTCGATTTTATTAGTTCTAATCTAAATAAAAGGATTTTAAACAAATTTGAAAAGTATTTTTATTGAACTAAGTAAAAATCTATTCTTGTTTCCTGTAAATAAATCATACAATATCCTGAAGATACTAGATGGAAAACTTAACAAATATTCAATATCTATAATCCTCAAATATCTGGATAAGTAAGCTCATTAGTAATGAATATTAAACTATGATTTTCTGCATTTACCTTCTCAACCTTTCTCTTAAGGTACAATTCCAACAAAACAAGATTTCACTTACATAATTTTTCTTTTCTCCATTTAAGGTAATTTCTGAATTGTAGTGCAAAATGTGGCAAACTACAGAGACACTGAAAATAAAAAATTTTCAACAAACCTATTCTGGTTTCATACATGAGAAAAAAAATGGTCATAACATATTATTAGAAAAAATGGCATATAGTGGAAATTGATATTCATGCAGCTCTACAAGTCTTTTCAGTTGTCCAAATTTGCAAATACCACTATTACGAATTAAAACAAAGTATTTTCCCATAACATGCAGCCAGATATAATTCAAAAGCTACATGTAAGTTAGACAACAATTATGGAAAATGCAATTAGGGTGTCAGGTGGGCTCACTTAACTAAGTGACTGGTTCTCCCCAGATAAGTCTCTGGGAACACAAGATTCAAATTTATGCTTTAGTAAAATTATATATCATTTCACATTATGTACCTGGGGGACTGGCTGCAAATAGTGAAAATAATGAGTATGAGAGATTTGCAAATAACAGGGAGCTACTTAATTTCTAAAAAACAGCAAAACAGTCTCAGTGTGAATTCCCAAGTGATCACTGTTGAAGCTTTTTTCGAAGTAAAGAGACCATTATAGACTCAAGGGTCAAAACAGCCTCAGGCTCAGCTTGAATGCTAGGATACTGGTCTGGCTTGCATCTGTATCAATTCTGCTATAGCTGACCAACTGGACAACTTGAGAGCCAGTTAAATAATATAGATAAGAGTTTATGAAAGTCCTTAAAACATTTGTCACCTCTTTAGTGTTCAAGAATTAATTTCTAAAAAGGAATTCAGCAAATTAATTTTTCATAATTCACCTTTTTCTTTTAAAAAGTTAGAAGAAACTAGGAGTAAATACAGGTGGCTTCCAAGCATTAAAACACCACCATTTATTAAGGTGGTGGGCTTAAAGGCCTAAGGCAAATTGCATCTTATCTCATATCAGCAGAATCTCAGAATGAAGGAAAGATTGCTCATTTTTTTTTCAGAAGACATTCAATTTTTAACTGTGTATTCTCACCAATTATTTCCTGAGCCAGAAATATCAGTGATGAGCTGATTCATATCAAATACATCTCTCAGTGGTCCCTGCAGAATTTCATTCACTACCCCTTCCTCCATATCAATCAAGACAGCCTGAGAAAGAAAAATAAAATCTAATTAGTATATTTTCCTTTTAGAGTTATTCACTCTGTAAATGAAAAGAATTTATGCACTGAATATTGCACTGTTCTCTGTATAGTTTAAGCTTAATTAAAAACTTTATGTAGAATCTGTTGTAAAAATTAAAAAAGAATTTCACGCTGTTTGAAAGGTGGAATCCAATTAAAAAATGAATTCTAAATTCTTGTATTCTACTCCAAAATGACTAGTGGGGGGAAAAAGACCCAAGACTAATCCCCTCAATGAATTTTTAACAAGGTCTCAGAAATTTAGAAGGCAACCTTAACCAGAACAAGTTCTCAAAAAATATAGGATGCATTAATGTATTTGCATACTGGGAACAATCATGCTGCTCTTTATGACCATAGCCCAAAACTGTCCAATTCAAATAAGTAAATTTACCATTATGTGCAAAGCAAAGACACTGGATAGATGTCAAAAATGACAATATGGTCCCTTCCCCCAAATAATTCACAATCGAATTCTTAGCTGACATGACCAAAAAAACCCATACTCCTAAGACGAAATGAGAATATAAAACACAAAATTAATTATAGAAAGAAAAAAAGATGAAGGAAATGTAGTAAAATGTAAAGCAGGGATAGCTTGGCAGTAGGATTATATGTCCCATCCTCCTACTTCCCTATAGCTTCCATACATTCTACAGTGAGGAAGAAGAGTCAAAAAGTAAACTAAATAGAGTTAAGTAAAAAAGCAAAACTGAAACAAATTCTGAAATAACCTTAGGGTACACTAAAAAATGATTTGTTAACTCTTTGTTTCAATGTCACAGAAGAAATGCTTGGTTTATGGCTTTTCGTTCTGTGACCATATAACATTAAGCAGTGCATTTAATCATTTGTGTAATTAACCATGCTACTTTAAGATATACAAATAAAATAATAAAGCAGTATATCATAAAGACTATAAAACTATGTCTTATAAATATGCTCCTTTATACAGAGCAATCATATTCATCCACAGGGCTGTATCCTTTTCATACACAGGACTGTACAGGATTACGTTTGGCAATGTTAGGTATTTTCAAGGATATTTCTGACAATATGCAATTTTGACCTCAAATGCTGACTTTAACACCTAAACCAACAAAAGAGAGACTTCACTGTATGGGTAAATTGTAGTACTAGAAGTTGTAAGATTAAAAAAGAAAAATATTTTAGATTATACTGGTCTCATTCCAAGATAGATTTATTGAGGTATGTGGAAGATTAAATGTACATAAATCACACTCTCAATTACGCTACCATCTGGCAAGGGAAGCAATATGCAAATACAAACTGATATTCAGGTATCTCCTGAAATGAGTACAATCAACACTGTCCTAGTCACTTAATATTAAAATCCTGACATAACTCTTCCAGACATTCCTTAGTTACATCGGGCCCTTGATTTTCCTTTGGATATTAAACTAAACTTTGGAAGAGTATTTTGGGTTCTTCACTTAGGTATCCAAGGTCTGGAGACACAACTGTTCCAGGATTTAATGTTTGTACTTCCTTTCAGAGCCACCTGGCTTTCCCCTGAGTATAACATAGGACTTACAAAATTCTGACTATTCATTAACCTAAGAAACCGAACACAGTGGAAGTACCCAAGCACCAAGTTATCTTGTGAAGCTTGGACTCTTCAGTGATCACAATCACATAATACCAAGAGCTCCTAAGGAGAAAATGGAAGAGTACCTTCACAGAAAAAAAGTCAAAGGCTACAAAAACGCAGATTTATTTTTTCCTAATAGTGTTCCCTCCACCTCTCAATCTGCTCACTGAAAAGATTCAATTGGGAGTAGTCTAGGAAATGTCAGTCTCTTTTTCTCTAAGATTTGTATTGGGATATCAGTTCTCTCTACATGATGAAGTAAACTGTGTTAATCAATTAACATAACAGTCTGCAAGCACATAATTTTTGCCCTAAATTTTGTTTTCCAAGGACTTCAGAGATCGCAGATACCAGGAGATGATTCCCAGATGTCACAAAACTATTGCACACTAGTCTTTCAGCTACTACACCAGGTCTGATCTTTAGCATTGTAATTCCTTCCATAACATTTAAACTTCCTTTTCTGTTATAGTCAAAGACCACTGATCAAAAATCAGAAAAAGTAGTCACAAAGAAACAATCACAGAAATATTGTTGGAATGATTAAGACTGTAAATATGGGCTATGAACCTGAAGTAGTTGGTTCAGGAGAACTTGCATGGTTAATGGTTTTTATTGACTACAATGTGGCTGATTCCATGTTTTGTATTGTTAGTAAGTAACCTTGATGCAAATAAATCTTCCAATGTATTCAAATAAAACATTAAACTGTTCCTTTTGTTATCATTTATCTAGACACTATTTCTTCTTAAAAAAGGCTACAGTGTTTTTAAGTATGGACTTTTCTCCCTAATGTGTTAAGCAGACACAAATGTCTGCTTAGTTATATTTATATTAAACATGGCTTAGTAACTTTTTTCTACTTTGAAAAGTTGAAAGTTTCATTCTCATGATAGTTACTGAGAACAGTTATTTTAAAAATACATGCAATGTAAGAATCCAAGCATATATGTATCTTACTCGTGCTTTTAAAGAACATATTTTTCCCTTGGAAATACTTCCACCGTCACCAACCACTCTGAAAGATAAAAAAATGAGAATAGGTCATAAGATCTTCCATGGCTAATAGTGCTAACAGGTAATAAAGTTAACTTCCATTTATATAATAAGACTGTTTATAGGCCAGGTGAGGCAGACACAACACCTATTCCTAATCTCTTTCTTCCTTGCTTACCTCCCATTAGGCTGAAAAAGTGAAATACTTATTTTCCTGCCTTTCTTTGTAGTTAGGGCTGGCCATGTAATCCAGTTCTAGCCAATGAAATAAAGGGTAAGTATTCCGGGAAGCTTTCGAAGAAGGACCAGATGCAGTTTCTTTCTATCTTCTACCTTTTTCCTGCCTCAAACATAAATATGAATGTGATTCCTGGAGCAGAGACTGCCATTTTGTAGTCATGAAGTAATAAATACAAGGACAAAAAGCCAACACACTTATGGACAGCAGAACAGTATATAGTATTAGGTCTTTGAGGCATTTCTTTAAAACTAGAACATGATTTCCAGATTTGTCTGTGAGATGAATCGATCCAGATTTGTCTGTGAGATGAATCGATACCTTTACTGCTTAAGTCACCATTAATGTGGTTTCCTATTGCAGCAAAACACTCAACAACTGATATACTGGTATTTGCCACTGAGTATCTAAAGCTGTTCTCAGAATTTCACGTTGGAAGTTAAGTTGCCAAAGTACTGAAATCTAACACAGTGTATGGGTCAAGACAGTTCACAAGACAGAATATATGAAGGGTAGCCAACGCCCAGACCAAATCCAACTAGCTGCCTGTTTTCCTAAATAAAGTTTTATTCAAACATGAACACACCCATTCCCTTATGTATTACCTATGCCCACAGTCATGCTACAGATCAAGAAGTGGTGTAAAAGACTTTACGGTTCACAAAACCTAAAATATTTACTGCCTGGTCCTTTACAAAAAACGTATGCCAACTCATGCTGTAGTGCTGTAGGTAAATTCCTATCATGCTATTAAAAAGGTATAAACATTTGATAAGAAGAGTACACAAAGATGTGGTCTTACTTTTGAAAAAGATTTTTTTGTACTAAGTTGTGGAACAGATACCAAATGTGTTGACAGTACACAGAAAGAAGTGTAAGATGCTACAACCCTTCTTGCCAAACTTACCGGGAAAATAATAGTGCTCTCAGCTTAAAGTATAAAACACACAGAGTAGATAAGAGTGTAGTTATGAAGAATCACCTTATGAAGAAAGAAAAGCTCCTAGGCTAAGTCTCAATGTAAGCAACAAGAAGTAAAGAGGTGGGTGTAGGAACTTAGCAAGAGAATCACCTGAAAGGAAGTATTACAGAGGCAAATTTGAGTCTCCTAAGAGAATTTAGAGGTGAGGATATTCTGGGCTACAAGTAAGAGGGAATCTACAGTCTATATGACAGATATCTCCATAAAATAAAGATAAATGATACCAGCCATTAAAGTAATACACCTAACTTCCTGTGCTCTGATTCCACGGTCACCAAGCAACCTTCTGATTATGACATAGCTTTTCAGGTAGATTTCCTACAAGAGATAATGTACTGTGGCTATGAAGAAAAATGAGAATTTGGTTTTTGGTTAACCTGGCTCTACTGGAGAGCAATGAACCTATCTCAAGATACCAATGACACTTCTGAGTTTGCAAGCCAGAGCCCTAGATAGACTGTGGAATTCACCCAGGAAGCTGGGACGAATTTGCTTTCTCTAGAAGATAACTGCTCACACACCCAGCCAATTATTTTAAACTAGAACTGATATTCCTACTGAATTAAAGCCTGATATTAAGTATATACTTTTCAGTTTAGGTTTGCTTTGTGAAGTATTTTGAAAACGCATGAACTTCATGATTTGATTGATATTAAAAGCTTATGGACATACCCTGAATGGCAACGTAAATTACTCTTCCAGATAAAAGATATATGGTACTTACATATACCCTTTATTAAATAAACAAAATCCAACAGCTGCTTGTCTCCTTTGTAAGTACATTTTTATACTTACATCATATATGTAAACAATTACATTTTTCTTTCAAAAGTTAGTTTTTACTGGATGCGTTAACAAGATGCTCTCTGGGAAAGTTACAGCTTTCCTTTAATGAAACTTATTTCAAGGTTAAGTTAAAAGAAGCCACACTAAAGGGAAACCTGTTGTCTTGTTCTGCACAATAATATGAGAATATTAATAATCTAATAAGAATAAATATGGTTTCAATAATGAAACAAAAAAAGACAACTTCGCGGCAACTGGCTATTTTTATTGTCCTTTGAAGAATTCTCTCCCAAGCGACTAAAACGAAAAATAACACACCGCGACAGACTTTAAGCCCATCTTACCTGGTATCCACATTTCTAAAGAAGCTGCTTATTGCCTCATCATAAATTCCTTTCTAAAAAGAAAAGCATACGTTAGTAGCATTTAGGTTCTGCTTCTTGCCCAAATCAAGTTCTCTCCATTTTAATAATCTCATAATACTATAAGGGCTAGGATGACGCTCTGATAAGAAAAAGCAAGTATCAAAAAATGCTGAGCTTCATTCTTCCCAAACTCCTTAGAAGAGTAAATGCCATGAGATCTACAGATAAAGTTCAGCAGGGGGTGCTAAAGAAAGGATTCCACCTATAGAACTGTAGAACAGGTGCATCAAATGAGTGTTCTCTGGCTCCTTGGCGATCTTTTTAAAAGCTGACTGGTTAAATTAAAGAATACAATAACCACACGTGTTATCTATTTTACAAAGTACTTTCCCATATACAATCTCACTGGTCTGCCACGAACACTGATAAAGAGAAGACCCTGAAAATTAGAAAAAATGTTAAGACTAAGGTCTTCGGTCAGTGTTCTTTTAGTTTAGTGTGTGTCTGGCAGCAACATGGTTAAAAACCAGTATATTCTTTACTGAGAAACATTCCATGCAACTTAAATGGGTCAGATGAAAGCTCAAGTCGAGCGTTTCCTGCGTGGGTGTTGGAAGACCTCGCTGACAGGAGAGAGGGGCTCGCGGCGGCAGAAGGGTACCTGGTTGACCGCAGCGTGCTCCCTTAGCGCCAGGTCCCAGAAGCAGCAGCCGATCTGGTTTCCGCACTGGCCGACTGCGACCAGAGAGGAAGGAAAGAGAATAGGACATTAGGCAGGAAAACAAGGCATTCCGCGGCGACTCTCTACCTGTCCCGCGCTGCTCACCCTGTACGACCACTGACTGTGTCATTCTGGAGAGCTGCCAGCTCGCGGTGCTTGCGAGCCGGTACCGGATTCTGCATGCCGCCTGCAACGGCTTTCTCCGAGGGAGCGGCCGTAAGTCACGCTGCTGCCGCAAGCCGCTGCTGTCGCTAAGCACGTCCCTAGTTTCAGACGAAGTTTTCCGTCAGGAGGCCGCGCAAGTGCACTTGCGTTTCACCGTTACCATAGCGACTGGGCCTCGGGACGCAGATCCTTGCTGCTTTGCCAACATCTTTGAGCAACTGCGGCTCCGGAGGCCGGGGTAACTGGCGGGTAACTAGGCTTTAGAGTGGCATTTTAAAATATGTGTCTTTAAGCTGTTCGTAGGCTATCAGAGGTTTAGTTTTTGTTCACAGTGTCAACACCCAGGGCGGTGGATCAGTTCCGTTATTCACATTCCACGAGAGACGCTGCCTTAGCATCTCTATCCAGCAAGCCCTTTGTTTTATTAGAAAATGAACAATGGCGTTGAGCAAAAAGAAACCCCAGAGAAACAGACATGTCAGGGCACAATTGAAACTAGATGGTTGGCCGGGCGCAGTGGCTCAAGCCTGTAATCCCAGCACTTTGGGAGGCCGAGACGGGTGGATCACGAGGTCGAGAGATCGAGACCATCCTGGTCAACATGGTGAAACCCCGTCTCTACTAAAAATACAAAAAATTAGCTGGGCACGGTGGTGCGTGCCTGTAATCCCAGCTACTCGGGAGGCTGAGGCAGGAGAATTGCCTGAACCCAGAAGGTGGAGGTTGCAGTGAGCCGAGATCGCGCCATTGCACTCCAGCCTGGGTAACAAGAGCGAAACTCCGTCTCAAAAACAAACAAACAAACAAACAAACAAAAAAACCAAAAAAAACTAGGTGGTTATACACTTTGAGAAAAATGACAAAACCAAGATCAGAGACCCAACCAGTATTTGTTGAACGCTCTATACTCATCAAGTTAACTTGTAGGCTCTCTGGGAGGATTCAAAAGAAATTAAGACATGGATCCAGTTCCAAGAAGCTTACAATTTAATTGAAGACATACACGTGAAATACTCAAAGAATTGTATGGCATTGACTATAAGTGCAATGGATTCAGTGGTTGAGGATGTAGATGAGTAAATAGAAGTCTGATGGAAGAGATGGGATTAACGCTATGCATTTAGATGGGTAGTTAGATGGGATCGAGGAGGAGAAGATTAAAAAATTAGGCCTTATGACAATTACCAACTCCGTAAAATTGTCAAACATTAAAAGGTGTAAACTTCTATTGATAAAATTAGACGAGAATTTAAGAACTCAAGTACTTCTTTAATGAAAGTAATATTTTCCACAAAAATTCTAAAGAACTATGAAACCATAAGAAGTCTTCTTTGTTTAGTAAAAAGTTAAATTATATGCTTTGTGTTGTGAATGTGTGCTAATATGAATTGTAATATTCAATTGATTAGAACACTTTATTGTCCCATTAGACACATAGTAATTATTATTACATTTTTCTGATAGCTGGTAGTTTAAAGTTGCAGTGATTTTATATCTTTTGGTAATAGGCAACTTTTAATCAGTAAATTTTTGCAGGCTGGATTTATTCTTAACTGCTTATTTAGCATAGGGTCAATGGTAGAGGTGCAGTTGGGCACTTTGGGTCTTGATGCTAAAGTCCCAAAGTCTGGAGCTTTCAAAATTTGCAAGTCTTCGTCCAGTTCGTAGGCAGTGATGTGAATAGGTCTGTATCAGTCTGTTATCCGTGCCAGTCAGATGATATACTGGCCTCTGCAGAACCCTACCCCTCATGCAGTCACAGTCATTATTCTCTAGAAGCCATACATAGAAAAGTCCTAACACGTCTCATTAATAACTTCAGTCTGTAGAGAATCAGACTGAGAGAGAGTTCTGCTTAAGAGTCAAGCAAGGGAGAGCCTTACTTGCCAGCCACTCCAAAACTTCCATACAGGCAAACTCAGATTAGCTAAGTCGAGATGATTTGAACTGCAGCGGGCTATTCAGAATCTTATAAGCAAGAGAAATGCTTTTTTGTTGAAACCATTGACGTTTTGGGGTGCAGTTTTATTGGAGCAATAACTGACTAACATACAAAACAAATAGAGTGGACAGAATTCCACATGCTGAAAATGAAAAAGAGATTTCTATAGAAAAATCAACACCAAGACATATAACCTCATTAAATCATTCAGTTTTTCAGAATAAAGAGAATTCTTTAGGTACCTAGGCATGAAATGAACAGGGGAGTGTGATGGAGAAAAAACAAGAAACATGTTGTTTTCCTCTGTTTGCCCCCTCCTCAACTGTGTCAGTGTTTTTGTCTTCCACCCATTTCCACCTAATTAATGAAAAGTTGTCTTTTAAATTTAGATTTCATATTCTAGACTAAAACAAATCCTATCCTAACCTATAAACTCCACTATAACAGGAACTGTGTTTGTTTCTGCTTAATCTTTTATGTTTAACACTTAACACATGCCTGGCTCATGTGGATTCTCAGCAAATATTTGTTAAATGAATGAATGAACTCCATGGTCTTTTTTTCTTAGACTATGGCAAGTTCAAGTATCACTTATTTTCTGCATCTCATGAATTAATATCTTGAGAGTTGAAAGATTATTGCTCTTGAGCTTATGATACTTAGAGGAGTATTTGGAGACTTCACTGTCTTTTAATTCACCATTTGTACTGCTCTTGTCTATCTATTGCTTTATGAAAATCTGCTGGAGACTCAAGTTCATTTTGTCTTCTGATGTATTATTCTAATGTCATAAAGTTTCATCATTAGGGCTACTGTTTGGTTTGTTTCATTGTATCACCCATTCTAAGGAAGCATGGTATGCCAAATGGACTAGTTAAAATGGTAAATTAGAAGATTTTAAGAATATCCCCCTTACAGATATTTTACTTTATATATATCAGTGACTAAAAAGTGAAATCAGTGTCTCAACACTCTGATTTCAAGAATGACACAAAAATATTTAGGAAGTAGTGCTGATTGAATTATTGTATCCCAGTCACTGGCTTTATACATGTTATATATTTTTGTATTCCTCACAACAACTCTATAGGGTAGGAATTAATATCATTTTACAGACAAACTTTTAGTGATTTGCTCAAAATCTCAGCACTAACATTGTGTCAAAATTCAAATCTGACTGGGCACAGTGACTCACACTTGTAACTTTAGCACTTTGGGAAGGCAAGGTGGGTGGATTGCTTGAGCCCAGGAATTTGAGATCAGCCTAGGTAACATGGTAAAATTCTGTCTCTACAAAAAAATACAAAATCAGCTGGGCATGGTGGTGTGCACCTGTAGTCCCAGCTACTTGAGATGCTGAGGGGGGAGGATTGCTTGAGCCCAGGAGGTTGAGGCTGCATGCAGTGAGCCATGATCATGCCACTGCACTCCAGCCTCAGTGACAGAGCAAGAACCTGTCTCAAAAACAAGCAAATAAGGAAAAAACAACAACAAAAACCAATTTAAATATAATTCTGATGCTACCATCACTTTTCCACTGCTACCTCCTCTCAAACATGTAAACTATCAAAAGTTTTTGCCATCCTAAGGACCAAATGCTTAGGTCCTAAGATACATTAGCTAACAATGGCCAGCAATTATTTGTGTGACTGTGACACTGTCAGTTAAGTTATTTTTCTAAGCTAAAATGGTGATCAACTTACTTATAGATACTATACTAGTAAGAAAAAGTAGAGGTAAGATTGTATTCAACATCAAGTTAATTCTTATGTAAAATCCCAGTTTTCTATAACATGAGTCATATGAAAACACAACAGTGTTAGGTGGGGGGCTAGAGGAGGGATAGCATTAGGAGAAATACCTAATGTAGATGATGGGGTGATGGATGCAGCCAACCACCATGGAATGTGTATATCTATGTAACAAACCTGCACATTCTGCACATGAAACCTTAAGTTCAGTAATGAAAAATAAATTTAAAAAAGAATTTCTGTCATAAAAAAATGCTCACTAGGGCTGGGTGCAGTGGCTTCTGCCTGTAATCCTAGCACTTTGGGAGGCTGAGGTGGGTGGCTCGCCTGAGGTCAGGAGTTCAACCTGACCAACATGGAGAAACTCCGTCTCTACTAAAAGTACAAAAACTAGCCGGGTGTGGTGGTGTGTGCCTGTAATCCCATCTACTCGGAAGGCGGGGTGCGCTGAGGCAGGAGAGTCACTTGAAACTGGGAGGCAAAGGTTGCAGTGAGCCAAGATTGCACCACTGCACTCAAGCCTGGGTGACAGAGTGAGACTCTGCCTCAAAAAAAACATGCTCACTAACATTTAATAGTTTAGTCATCAGATATGAAAATTGAAAAACTGCTTAGCTGAAGAGTAATGTTCTGATGTAAGGGTTAAACTCAACATTACTGAGTAGAGCAGATGTTCATGAGGTAAGCTATTGATACAGAAGCTAAGAACGAGTTGGGAGAGGGAGAGCAGTTCAGAGAAATGTGACGGTTGTATGAGCAGAGAAGCAGCCCAGGGCCCAGGGAACAGAATAATGAGGACAGTACAAGATGTATTCTTCCTTTCACAATTGTAATTATTCCTGCCATTTGTGAATTTGAAGACTCTCTTGAGGAAACAGTAAAAAATAAAAAAGGTTAGTCCAGGCATTAGAGAGAACATGTAAAGAATCCCATGTAAGAGTTATAAAGAAATCTATAAAGGTACAGTTTGGGTTTGAGGATTTTGGAGTGGGATGAGGAGGTAGATAGATTGGATTTTTTTGTCATAATATAAGTGAAAGTCTAGGGGGGAGAGAGAATGAGGAAAACAGGATCTAAAATGAGAAGAATCTCAACTCTGATTTTGTACAGATTGATAAGACTGTAGGCCCTCATTCATGGATGAAAATACTAATAGTGAACTAAGGAATTGTAGGGAAATAAGGAATAAGGCAGTAACAATAAGAATGAAACTTTCCAAAAGACTTTAAGAGAAAATTTTTGGTTATCCTCAGTTGGTTGTTGGAGCTATGCATTGAGATATTTGATTCTTTAGCAGGTAGGAAACTATGTGAAAGAATCTTCTGATGTCATAATTTCTGGGTGTCACTGGAACATTTGATCATCATTCCTTGGCAATTCCAGGCTTCTGTGGAAGGTCAGTAGAAGCATTGATTTATTCACCTCTACAGGAATCAGACTCAGCCTATATTGGTAAGTCTATTTATCCTTGATCAAATAACAATGTTAACACCTGCATGGATAATCACAATAAACCACAGTGTGGTTTTACTAAATCATCATTGAGCAAAACACTTTTTTTCTTGATAATTGACACAGTCTATAAAAGTTATCATTTAAATTCTTAAACCTTAATTTAGTTTTATTGCCACCAATAAACATTTACTTTTAGGCATAGAATACTGTACTAGGCATAAGAAATAGTTAAGCAATTTAAAATTTTTCCTATCCCTTGTGGGCTAATAGTTGAATACATGCAAATTATTTCAAGATAGAGCTATTAAATATTCACTGTGTGCCAAGCACTGTTCTAGGTATTAAGTATTCAGCGATGACAAAGACAGACTTGGAATGAGGGTGGATATTAAGCATTTATAAAAATAAGGGTAGTATTTCTTAACAGTGGGCAGTTCTGCCTCTCTCTCCCACGAGGGGACATTTGGCAATGTCTATAGACATTTTGAACTGTCACAACTTTGGGGGAGGGGTACTGTTTGCATCTACTAGGTGAAGGCCTTGAATTCTGCAAAACATTCTCCAATGCACAGGATAGTTTCCTCCTTCACCGACTAAGAATTATCTGATTCCCAACTGTCAATAGTGTCATGGCTGAGAAACCTTGAATTAGAATGATGATAACTGTTACAAAGCAGAAATAAAGGTTGCTATGAAAACTTAGATAATGGGGGTTTATAGAAGTAAGTTACAGAGTAAGTCAAATGTCAGTTCAGACTTAATGGATTGAATTGGCCATAGCAAATGATGGGTGGGAGCAGTGGGGTAGTGAAGAGTTCCAAGGTAGGCAGTAAGGAGTTTATTTATATGTGTTTATGTGTATGCATCATGTCTACTTCATAATAAATTTAATATCACATGTATACTTGCATATATTTATATATATTTTACTAATGCTCAGTAGTACATGCTGAATAATAATAGTTAACATTTACTGAGCACTTACTGTGTGTTAGTTAGGCAATGCGCTTTACATGTATTACCTTACTCCTCACTATTTTCCTAGAAGTAGATAATATTATCACCAACGTACCTGTGAGAAATATAGATAAATACCTTGGATCACGTAGTTGGGAAGGGCCAGAACCAGGATTTGAACTTAGATAAATCCAGCTCTCCCAAGGCTACTTTCTTAACTACTTTACTGTGACTATAAGGAAGCAGGGGGAAATGAATAATCACCTGGAGCAGAAGGATTAGCTGAAGATATCTTGGTGAATGCAAAATTCTGTGCTCCAAAGGAAGAGAAGAGTATAGATAGGTAGAGAGGCGCGTGTTGATTGTAACAACTATTTAAAGGCAAACCGAATTTTGTCTTCACACAGCAGAAATGGACTTCAGTTATGTTAACCATCGGGTACACTATCCTTATATTACTTGGTGGCTATTTTGTATTTTTTGCAAGACTTAAATTGTACATAAGGGATAGTTGTGAAATACTTTTATAGCTATTTATAAATAGAATAACACTCAGAATATTTCTATATGTCTATAACAAGATTGTAATATTAAAAATTCCAAGGCCAGGCACGTGTGCACCTGTAGTTCCAGTTACTAAGTAGGCTGAGGCAGGAGGATCGCTTAAGCCCAGGGGTTCAAGATTGTAGTGCACTATGATTGTACTTGTGAATAACCAGTGCACTCCAGACTAGGCAACATAGTAAGACTCTGACTCCTAAAAAAGTTCCATACAAGTCTTTGATGACAATCTATCTTCACCCCCAATATTTTAACTTTCTAATCTAGGTTTTCAGTGAATTATGCCTTTTGAGTTTGGGACCCAGCCAAGGAGGTTTCCAGTGGAAGGAGGAGATTCTTCAATTGGGCTGGAACCGGGGATGAGCTCTAGTGCTGCCTGTAATGGGAAGGAGATGTCACCAACCAGGTAAAGTCTTCAATCCTGACAACTGAGGAAATATGTATTGGCTATCATCAATATAACCTTCAGCTGTTATATCATCAGTATATTGGTTATATCATCAATATAACCTTCAGCTGATACTCAGTACAAGCAAGAAAAAATTCTCAGGAATTAAAAAAACATTGTTGTTTCTAAATTAGTATTAACAGAGCCCAGGTTTCCTTAGTATAGAATCTGTGTTTTGTATTTCTATAAAGTCTTGATGATAGGCCAATTTATTCTCTCTCTTTCTAGTACATTTTTAGCTATTAACCCAAAATCCGCACAATTACGTTTGTCCCAGCCTTAGACTCTTTTGTTGATAGCTTCATGATTAGGTAACATTCAGTTAAACAAACAAACCTTCAATGTTAGTATGTGCAGGGCACTGTGCTAGGCATAAGGCTAAAAATATGAAAAAGACTTAGACCTCAGATTTGGTGTCACTTTGGCTTTGCTGTGACCTTTGGCAGAAAGAGTGATACAGAGTATGAAGATTCTGTGAGACAAAGCAGTTTTGCAAAATGGTTAGTTCCATTTCTCTGATATTTATCATAGCAAAACCTTAGATTCTCATGGTTGGAAATTTTTGGAACACAGATTTAAGTTTAACAGGGTGTAGGTACTTAAAAATTGGAGTTAGTAAAGAATGAAACAGGCTACTTTGGGAAATAATGAGCTCCCAGTCTTTAGAAATGTTTAGGGCTGAGTGACTATTAATTGGTGGAAATGTTGGAAAGGAAATGCATATATAAGACGTATTTTTGGACTAGGTGTCATTTAAGGGCCATTTCAAATCTGAGAGTCTGTCAACATTTGAACAGTATGTGGAATACTATGTTCAGTTTTGTATTTTTCCACAGACATTCTCATTTTGAAATCACTCAACTGACGTGATTTTAGGGTACATATGCACATGAATTGCCATGGTATTATCACTTATGTTTGTAACTATGTACTTTGTTTTGCCATTTAGCGATCATTATGTACCTTTCAAAATGAACATCTGGAGGGTTATCTTTGAATATATGAATTTTCTGTGATTAAATCTATGGCAAAGGCCACAATTTCTTTGTTATATCAGTCTAAAATAGGTGCCTCATCAGCAAAACCATGTTATACTCATTTTATGACATTCAGAGATTTCAAAGTGATTTAAACAGTTAAATATACACTAAAATTTGGGTGCTCTGAAAAAAATATTTCTCCTTTTTAGTATCTAACTACATGTCATCTGCTTTTTTATTCAGGCAACTCCGGAGATGCCCTGGAAGTCATTGCCTGACAATAACTGATGTTCCTATCACTGTCTATGCAACCATGAGAAAGCCACCTGCACAAAGCAGCAAGGAAATGCATCCTAAATAGCATCACTAAGTCTTTTGTCAAGGTCTGACTAGGTCAAGGGTAGTGGACCAGTATCATCTTGTGATCTGGTAAACAAATAAAAGTGGTGGCACCTTCGAATGATGACAACAATTGAACTATTTACTTGTAGTAAGACAGACAGAAATATAGTCAATAAAACACACATAGTAATAGGCTATCAGTTATGCCTGATAGGTAAGACAGAATAATATTTCACAATTAGAAAGTACCTTAGAGATCATCTTGCTCACAGTAGGTCATTAATATCAATAATTGAAGATGAAGCTTAATTCGACATGGTCATCAATCAGGTGGGGCTTATTCTAAATGTTTAATGTATCTTAGGCTCATTTCCTTGTTCATATTTGGGTTGCTAATTAGATAAATCCCTTTACCTTACTACCCCAAGCCAGTCCCTATCTTGATATTATTTGATAATGCTCTGCTCAGGAATAATTAGATTGGGTGAGAAATGGAGCCCTGTGGTTGTGTTTTGGAAGAGTATTCGAGGTCAAAGAAAGTTCTTAGTCCATGGTTAATCTGCAAGGCATTTAAGCTACTTCCATAAAGAAGCCCAGATTATTGGTTTAAATGTAAATGAAGTCAAAGCTGTGGTTCTAACCCTGATTTTTCCAAGAAAAATGATGTCCCATTATCATATTGTATCCTAAGTGCTAACCAGATATCTTGATAAATTGTTTATGATAGATACTGAGAAACCTCATGTGGATTTTTTAATTTGGTTAGATCTAGGATCACGTTTGAGGTTGGGGCCAGCTCTCTGTTCATTTTTTTCCTTGTGGTAGTCCCCAGAAACTCAGCCTGTTTTCCTTTTCTCTCAATGGCTGTCAGCATCCATCTAGTCAAATTGTCTTTTCCAAAAGACTGACTTTAGAATCAGATACAATTTTCACCAGTGTGTGTGTGTGTGTTTTTTGTCTATCTTGCTGCTTCTGAAAATATACATAAAAGTCTTTTAAAATGAAAACTTTATTAACTTATAATTAAATAGACATAGATGCATATACATTACCTTCGGTGAAAAAGAAAAACTGCCAGGGAGTTATAAGATGAAAAACTCACAGAGCTGGGAGATGTTTGAAGGCTAACCAGTTAAAGTGGAAAGATCTTGAACATATGGAGCATTGAGTAGACTCAGAAAGGTCATGCTTTCATAAGAGATCCAAACTGGCACTAGACTAAAGACTTTAACAAAGCTTAAAAAGCCTTGAGAGACTCGAGATGATCTCGAAGTAACCTCATTTTGTCTGCCAAATAAAAATGGAATATTTCTTAAAAGAAGAAAACAAAATGGAGGCAGGAAATTGCCTGAGGCTGGAGAAAGAATGATAGGAAGGAGAAAGGAGTGATGAAAAATTCCTCAAAGGGCTGGGTGTGGTGGCTCACACCTGTAATCCTGGCACTTTGGGAGGCTGAGGCAGACAGATCATTTGAGGTCAGACATTTGAGACTAGCCTGGCCAACATGGGGAAACCCCATCTCTACTAAAAATGAAAACATTGGCCGGATATGGTGGTGGGTACCTGTAATCCCAGCTACTTGGAAGGCTGAGGCAGGAGAATCGCTTGAACCGAGGAGGTGGAGGTTGCAGTGAGCTGAGATTGCATCACTGTGCTCCAGCCTAGGCAATAGAGTGAGACTGTGCCAACCCCCCAACGAAAAACAAGAAAAGAAAAGAAAAGAAAAATTCCTCAGAGCTTATACAAGGCCGGGAAGAATATGTGTTTCAGCAATAGTGGAAAGATCTTTTAATATAGTCCATGGATCATTGAGTAGAGTCTTCAGCAAAATACTGTCAAAGGGGGTTAGGGTTAGGTTAGGGTTATGGGAATAGACTGAAGACTACTCTGGACTTGTGCTAACATAGCTTAAGAGAAACATTTGAAAGGATCAAACTGACTTCAAGTAACTCTTAACCTTATCCAAAGGGAGACAACTGCTCAAAATAAAAATAAAAACTACAATAAAAGCCAGCACCAAATGTGTAACATTCACAATGATTAGCATCTAATAAAAAATTACCAGGCCTTGCAAAAAAAAAAAAAAAAAAAGAAAAAGAAAAAGAAAGCAAAATGCAATCCACAGTCAAGACAATCTTTAGTCGATAGAAACAGACTCAAAATGACAGCATTAGTAAATTCTCTGTATCCCAACCCAAATCTCATGTTGAATTGTAAACCCCAGTTTTGGGGGAGGGAGCTGGTGGTAGGCGATTGGATCATGGGGGTGGATTTTCCCCTTGGTGTTCTCATGATAGTGAGTTGTCATGAGCTCTGGTTGTTTAAAAGTGTATGTACTCCCCCCTTTTCCCTCTCTCTCTCCTGCTCCACCTTGCTAAGATGTGCTTGCTTCCCTTTGCCTTCTGCCATGATTGTAAGTTTCCTGAGGCCTCCTAGCCATGCTTCCTGTTAAGCCTGTGGAACTGTGAATGAGTTAAACCTCTTTACTTCCTAAATTACCCAGTCAGTAGTTCTTTCTTTATAGCAGTGTGAAAATGGACAAAAACAATAGACAAGTTACCATAAATAACATTCAAGTAGTGGATAAAAGCATAAAGAAGAGATAAATGGAAGACATAAAAATGGCTCAAATATAACTTTTAGAGAGGAAAAATACAGTATCTGAAGTAATATACATTGAGTAGGATTAAGAGATTAGATACTGGAGAAGAAAAGATTAATGAACTTGAAGACACGGCTATAGAAATTATCTGACATTAAGTACAAAGAAAAAAGCAATTAAAAAAGAGTATAAGTTTTATATTTCGTTATCAAGTAGTCTAATTTATATGTAAGTGGCTTCTCAGAAGAAGGGAAGGGGATAGAAAAAAATTTGAAGAAATAATGGTCATATTTTCCCCAAATTTGATGAAAACTATAAACTCACAGATTCAAGTAGCTTAACCAACCTGAAGAAGAAGAAACATGGAAATAAAACAATGTCATAACTAAATTGAAGAGAAAATCTTAAAACTTGATAGTAAATGACACATGCATTCAGAGAAAAATAAGAATGAGAGCACACTTTTCATCAGAAAATATTAAGGCAAAAAGGCAAAAGAGCAATATCTTTTTTTTTTTTGGAGATTTTTGCCCTTTTTGCCTAGGATGGAGTATGCAATGGTGCAATCTTGGCTCACTGGAACCTCTGCCTCCTGGGTTCAAGTGATTATCCTGCCTCAGCCTCCTGAGTAGTTGGGACTACAGGTGATCGCTACCACTCCTGGCTAATTTTGTATTTTTGGTAGAGACGGGGTTTCACCATGTTGGCCAGGCAGGTTTTGAACTCCTGACCTCAGGTGATCTACCTGGCTCAGCCTCCCAAAGTGCTGGGATTACAGGCATGAGCCACAGCGCCTTGAACGTGAAGTAAAGACTTTTCAGCCAAACAACTGCTGAGAGAATTCATCAATAGCAGATCTGCACTCTAAAAAATGTTCAAGGAAGTTTTTCAGGCAGAACAATGGTACTAGATGGATAGAAATGGATATATCATGCAGACATTAATCTGAAGAAAGTTGGAGTAGCTATATTAATAGCAGACAAGAAGATTTCAGAGCAAAGAATTTACAGAGGTAAAGAGAGACAATTCATAATGATAAAGGGGTGAAGACATCAAGAATACCTAACAATCTTAAATGTTTATGCCAGAGCTTCAAAGTACATGAAGCAAAAACTGATGCAATTGAAAGGAGAAATAACTCCACATTTGTAGTTCAGAATTTCAGCTGGTAGAGCAAGTAAACAGAATCAGTAGGGATAGAGAGGATGTGACAAGTGATATGGAACATTTTAACGAGGAACAGCAGAATACATTCTTTTCAAGTGCACGTGGAAAATGTACGAAGTAGAACATATTGTAGTCCACAAAACAAGTTTCAATAAATTGAAAAGTATTCAACGTATGGAAGGGTATGCAAAGTATGTCTTACAGTAGAATTAAATTATAAATTAATAACAGAAAGATACCTAGAGAATCTCCAACTATTCAAATACTTAGTGATGCACTTCTGAATAACCCCTAAATAAAAGAAGATATGACTGAATAAATTAGAAAGTGCTTTGAACTGAATGAAAATGAAAACAGCATATCAAAATGCATGGGGAGGAGCTAAAGTAGCACTTAGAGAGTATTAAGGTAATAAATTCTTTGATTAGAAAAGAAGAAACATCTCGAGACAATGATCTAAGCTTCCACCTTAAGAAAACAGAAAAAAATGAGCAAACTAAATCCAAAATAAGCAGAAAGAAAGAAGTAATAAAGATAAGAACAGAAACAATAATATAAGGGCAGATAAATAATAGAGAAAATCAATGGAACCAAAAGCTGATTTTTAAAAAAGATTAATAAAATTGATAAACTTCTAGGAAGAATTATCAGAAAAAAAAGAAGACACAAATTACCAAATCAGGAATGATAATGGGGACATCATGACAGATTTAAAGACATTAAGAAGATAAGAGTTTTTTCAGCAGTATGAATTCTTTAGTCTTCTAAGGCTTTTACCCTGAATAAATTGCCTTCCCACATTTCTCACATTTCCAGGTGTAAGCTTTCTGTCAGGGAATATTACAAATAGGTCCTAGGGCACCTAGTGACACCATGCTTTCATAACCTTCCACCAAGCTGACATCAGCTCATTAATCAACAGCCTTTAGACATGATCACTTGACACAGCTTCTGTTGAGGTTGCTGATTTAGCTCGCTGTTCATGGTCTGGCTGGGCTGGTGAGGGACTCAAGCCTGAGCAGCCAGCATCACTACACTTGAGTTCCTTGAGAGATTCAACTGTTTCTTCCAGCTGCTAGGGTCATGCTACATTCCTCTCAAGTTTCTGCCTTCCTGTCTTATGCTTTGGCAGATGTCAGGCTTTCACCCTTAATCTCATCAACCTTCTGCCCATCTCATCCTGCTTTCTAGCAGTCTTCTCTGCGAATGGTGTCCTTTGGTGCTGTGCCGTTTAGAAACTGACTGGTCCTATTTATGGTAGCCAAACTTCTTACCTACTTTTCAGGACTTGAAGTTATCAGAGACCCGAGGGAGCACTATTTGTTTCTTTGAGGCCTGTGCCATT